ATTGTTTTCGATAGTTGTCACGATTATCCAAAATTTCAATGTACAAAATTATTAAAAAATAACCACAATAACCGAAAATTGGTCCTAATTTCACCAAAGCTCTAGGTTGCACTTGAAAGCTCATCGTGATTTCCAAACGTATCATTTTTTTTTAATTTTTTTTCCTTGAAATTTCCCCGTTTGGGCTTGAAGTTAAGGTCTTGGACACCCTGTATATGGGGACAGCCAGGGGGCAAACAGATCCTATGAATTTTTTTTTACAAATATTTCATTGTTATTAGCTTGAAATGGTATTTCGTAAGAAATATGCATAAGCAGAAATAGAATAACTATTAATTTGACTTTATTTACCATTTCCTATTGTTTATATATTAGCCAAGGTTTAGATGGCTTTTTTTACCCCACCCGCAGCAAGCGTTTGAGGTTATATAAAAACATATGTTGAATCTAACTGAAAAATAACAATACATCTTACAATTATATTAAGGTATACTTTAAAATTATATTCAAGTATCATAAACTAAATACAAGAGCTCAAAACCAAAGAAAAAAATACTCTGCTGATACCGACGTCGTATGAATTAAAGTAATGGCTGATTACGCATCTTTTGCCTTCTACTTTAAAATAGTTTCATTAAAAATCTATATATCTATACTTCGCTTGTTTTTAGATACCAATAATAGACTTTTTTACCTGCAGACTTCTAAACCCCGGTCTACATGTTATAATTTAACAATAAGAGAAATATTTTTGCGCAAATGATTTAATATAAATACAATTTCATAAAATTTTGTGTAAATCCAGAACTTGTTGTAAATCCACAATTTAACTCGTCCTTTTCAATTCGATAGTGTGGAAGTAAATTTTGAGGGGAATCCTCGGTGTAAACAAGGCCGCAATGAATAAATAAATAGTCAGCCTCGACACATGTTTAGTTTTTTGGACACCGGAAGGTTGGCACTGCGACAACCCTGAGACGAGAGAGGGCGGGAGCATTCGAAAAACACGTGCCTTAAATAAAATAGCAAGATAGGAAACATCAATTGGGCGATCATTACGGAAAAGTACAGATTGAACGAAGGTAAAAAGGGATTCTATTACGAAATGACAGAGTGGTTAATACAAAAAATATGTGTCACACTCAGGTCATGCTAACAAAGAAGTCACAAGCCAATAATGAGTAAAACAACTTTTTCACAGATTATCTTAACATTGCATATGAAAATTCTAACTCCATAAACCACACATTTTAGAATTTGCATCGCGATATATGCAAATATGCAATTAAATTAGTTAACTCAGTCGTTTTCAACCTTGTTGCGCCTTCCTCAATTTTTCTTACAATATCATTTCATCAATACTCATTGATACATTTTATTTATACAAAAAAAATTATTCTTTTTCTTTCATATTTTTTTCATTTCAGAAGTTTTAGTTTATTTTAGAAAATAGTGTTTTGGAAAGTTGAAATTGTAATAAATTATATCTAGTTTCTGCTAAGTTAACCAAAAAAAGTTGTTCAGAACAAATTTTCAAGTTATTTAAAAAAATGCAAAAAATGTCCCTCATAATACCTCAAATTAGCACATTAGCGATTTAAACCGATCGTATTCAAAATTATCATATCAAAGCGTATAAATCTGTTTATACACAATTTTAGTAAATTTCATCTAGTTTCTGCTAAACTAAAAAAGGTTGCCCAAAACAACTTTTCGAGTAATTTAAAAAAATATCCCGAATCTTTATGTAGCAAAGTATAATAGATGTGCGAGTTCAAAATCGTTTTTCTCCAAATTTATGTATCGCACTGTATAGAACAGTTTATACGGAATTGTTAGAAATTTTATCTAGTGCCTGCTTCGAATAATTTTAAAATCCATCCTTGTAGCCGTCTTGCGCACCCCTGACAAAACGCGGCCTAAAGGTTGGAAGCCACAGAGATAATGCCCCGAGTTGGAAGGCATCCATGATCGATTTTTTTAAGGATTATTTACCCCCTCCCCCTTGGTGATACGTCGCAATATTTAAAATTACCATTCTCCCCCCACCAAACATTACGTGTACTTTCCGTAATGTAAAATTTTTCGAATTTACGAAAAAATCGTAAATTTTTTTAAAATATTTGGATTTTTTTAGAAAAGATTAGGTAAAAAATAAATACACGTGATATCTTACTAAAACCCTGCCTCCTTCACGTGATATTTCGTGATTTTTTGCCAAACCCGTCCTCTCCCAAATAGCCTCCCATGATTAATGGACGCCCCCTTGACAAGAGTAGTCAATTTAACTTTTTGAGAAGTTTTTTTCTTCAATGCATATTTAAATATACCATTGAAATTATTTTTAATACATTTACACACGCATATACTAAATGTGATATTACTTTCTGAAACTTATTATGAAAACAATTGCAGAAAGTTGCACAGTGCTTAAAGGCAAGACAGACTCTAATTCTGATTAAAAATTTGTTTCATTTACTGTGTATAATTTTTATTAAAAAATAATTCTAAAAAAAATCATATTCAAGTTATTTAACTAAATTGAACACACCCCTCTGTTCCTTACTGATAACAATATTAAAGTAAATGTGCTCCTTGAAAGATAACAGCTGGAATTTTTATATTTGCAATTTATAGAAATACATTTAAATAAACATAAAATTGTAACTTAATTTTTTTTATATGATACTTGAAAATGAAATCAATGTCGTTCATGGCATTGTCAAATATATTCAAAACTTAAAAATTTCGAATTTCAAATTTTCTACTTATTTTATTAATAGAGGGTTACATTAAAAAATAATTCTAGAATATTTGAATCATTTTGATAAAATAATCTTAACGTTTTATTGTTAAGCTTATTTATATAATATCATTATTATATGATAATATTTTAACTTCAATCAAAATAAAATATATTAACTAGAGCATTTAAATATATATTGAATAATTCTGCCTGTGGAATTATTTTCGTTTTACAAAACCAACCCAAATACGTTCAAATCGAACAAACAAATGCATTTACAACAGAACTAATTGAAACAAAATATAGTTTAGTCGTCCAAAAAAGATAAGCCGTTTTAAAATATCATGTTGTGTTTCTAAAAATATAATTCCAAATTATTAATTTATGAAGATACAGAAACATTTTATATTTAAATCCTATGAAGCATTTGTTAATAAATTTCTCTGCATCCATCAAACTATTTACTATGTTTAGAATTATACATGCTTTTATAATTTAATTTATTAACTTACCGTAGGGTAGTTACAGTAATGGTTCGAAGATCGAAAATGAAAATTGTTGAATTTTTCGACGTTTGAAGGTTTCTGAACATTTTGGCATACCTCGGAAAAAATAGATGTGTGTGTGTTTTGTTTGTCCGCATATTTTCGTCCACGTTTTCGGGCGCACGGATCAACCGATTTGAATGGTTCAAAAAACACTCAATTTCTATTAATAGGGAGATGTGCTGATTAGTTTTTGGCAAAGGCAGGTCCAGCCGTTTCCGTGATACCGAGCAAAGAGTGCAGAAAGTAGAAATCGAATTATTGAGAGATCGGAACATTCGATTTGAATGATCCAAAAAACATTCAATTCGTAATGACAGAAGTGGTGATTAGTTTTTGGCAAAGGCAGGTCCGGCCATTTTGGAGATACAGAGCTAAATGTGCAAAAAATGGCAATTTTTTAGAGAACTAAGCGTCCGATTTGAATGATTCAAAGAGCTTTCTACTTGTTTCAACAAAATAATTGCAAGAAAAAAATGTTTTTTGTATATTGAAAGTAATTAAGACTTTAATTTTAATTTTGACTAAAGATCTAATATACTTTAAACAAATAATTTCATATTTGCAATTCAGTTTATATAATACATATGAATATTGGACAATGTTACAGTATTTATTTATAATAATCTATTTGAAAACATTTAATATTCCTCGAACATTTCGTTACGGTACGGGAAGTTTCTGCAATTTGCCTTAAGGCACGATGCCATACACACCACTGGTTATAATTTGGCTGCTATAGATATTCACAATAATGAATAATGTAGAGTTACAATTAAATTGAGAAATAGGTTCAATAATGTTACTAATTTTAGTATATTAAAAACATGCAAAGTAAATATTTTCTATCTGCACGCGACTGTGGTAATATGAATATTCAAAATTTAAAAAATGTGAAAATGCATAATAAATACACCGTACGAATTATTGCGATTGATTTGACGCACGTCCCAGAAACCCTATTCGAACAAAAAAAACGCTGACTAAAAAAAATCGAAATCAATGGCAATTGCACTGTAAAAAGCAGAAACACGAATCAAATTCTTGCATAGCAGTTTATTTTTTGTTAGTGAAATGACAGAAAATTGATAACACCAGAAGGCTTGCAAAAGTGTTAATGCGTCAAATAACGCAGAAGTGCAGTTTTATAATAATTAAACAAGATTTCTTTTGAACTGATGGTAGTGAACCTTTGTGCAATATTGTATCTGGCCAAAAATCGCGTGCTTTATGAAAATAATTGATATATGTGATTTTATTCATTGTAATCTAATATGTATAATAAAAATTATGCAAATAATAAAAACCCAAACAACAAAAGATTAAATTTTAAATTATATAATAATTAAGGAAATAGTTTGACTATTTAACAGTATCTATTTAATTTTATGTGTGACAGAGATTCAATAAATATGTCTGAAAAGAAACAATGCAATATTTGCAAAAAATATGTCACGAATTATAGTCGTCACATGAACATCCATACAAGAAGACAAACTCACAAATGTAAATTTTGCGGAAAAAGCTTTACCAGACCCGATAACCTACATAACCATGTAAAGAGACATGTCAAGAAAACCTACTTCGTGTGTAATATTTGCGACAGCATTTTTTCTGAGCAACATAATCTGAACCTACATAAAGAAAAAAGACATCCGAATGCATTAGTAACTAAAAATACAATTGAAAAGCCTTATGACACCGACGTAATGGTCGCGAATCCACGGGAAAAAAATCAAGAGTTGAACACCTCAGAGGATGAAAGTGAATCTTTAATGTACGAGTTGGTTCCAACATCAGAAAATGTTTTTAGGTTGAAAATAACACGAAAACATTTGGATAGATCAGTGAAGCCTGAATATTTAAAAGTGACTTCAGACCAAAGTTCTGTACAAAATTTTTATGAAGATAATACAGCTCAGAATACAAAATCTTCTAATCAAACTAAGAAGAAGAAGGTTAAAAAATCAAGACGAAGACGAAAAAGTGAATACGAAACCACTGAGGAAGAGGAAGATTTCATGTCTGATGAGTCGGATTATACTCCTTGGAAAAACATTGCTGTGTCTTCAAATCGAATGACAACTAGATCTTCAACGAAACAGTTCAAAACTCCTGTAATAGAAGAAGTATTTTGTCAAAACCAAGGTGATGCGTGGAAACGAATTTTTGGTGAGTATGATAAGAACACAATTGCAGTTGAAACCAATAAAGATGAAACAATTGATTTGACTATGGATTTCGATGACGCTTTTAATAGTGATGTCTGCAACAATAGTGCCGCTGCCGCCAATAGTTCCATCAACAAGCAACATTATGGGAGCAAGTCCCCAAAAAGAATTAAAATAAAAAATGAACATGAAACCGATTCAGGATTCTGTGTGTATGAAGGACCATCATTGAAAAAGATAGTAAAACTTCCTCGCTCAATGTCAAACTTAAAAAATGTTCAAAACACTAGTGAAGAAAAACAAAACAGTGAAGAATTTGAAAAAACTTCTAGAACAGAAATAAAACAGGAGCAGCATATAAATCAAGACAACGAAGATTCATGCATAATCATCGATGACGATGATGATGAAACTGACAAAAAAGATATTTTAAGAAACAATATTTTGCAATCTTTTGATATTGATTCTACCGTAAATAACGAAGGATGCAGCAGAGATCTACAGTTGCATGACGAATTAACAAGGAACGACAAATTGAATCATCAGTTTTATAACAAAGATCATACCACCTCCGATAAAGATCTTGTTAGAGACCAAGAATCGTGGAGATTTTCTCCAATCGATTACTCAATGTATGAAAATACGACAACTGTTCAAAAAATTGATGCAGCAAAAAATCCCGAACAAAAGGATAATGAAACCAAAAATAATTATGGTTTAAATCAGTCAAGAATTACAATGAACGGTACTTCCAGAATAACATCAAATTCAACACAATATGATTGTCATGGAACAAACATAAAATTAAATGAAAATAATATCAGCCATGAAAGATTTTCGGAAAACCCAAGATATTCCAACCCTAATATTGAAGGGCGGGAGCGAATCGAAAATTTTTCATTGATTCGCGATCAATCTAAACCATTTTATAACAATAAAATAAACATGTCAAAGTCACCCCAAGAATATATTCAACTTGGACTTGGATCTAGTAATGATGGTTTTCAGAATACTTCAGTCAAGAAGTTGTGGGAACCAGAAAAGCGAACGAGTGAAAATATTTCGAAATATGGTACAATCACAAATAATTTGGAATACAACCACTCTTCAAGAAACAAATCATCTATTTCAAAAAATCAAAATAACCGAACGACTATTGATGCTTATTTTAAGAAACAGCCACCATCGTACAGTGGTGATCGTGCACGTGGAAATAGCGCAAATAAAACTGTCTCAATGATATGTACAACATTTTTACCATCATCCAAAACTTCGAATAACCATGAGAAGATAAAGGATATTAAGGGAACCGACAAAATTTGTTTGCAAAATCAAAATATTCAAGAAGTCCAAACATCAAATATAAATGACAAGATTACAAGGCAAGCTGTGGCAAATCTGTCAAGCTACGGTGGAACCCAAAGTTCAGTTTACAAAACACCAGTAAATGATCAAGAACAAGCAATACAACCTCAAAATACATCAGGATTTTCTTCTGTTATCCGTTATGCAATGAACCAGAAAGAGCAAGACAATGTAACTAAAAAGCAAGTTCAAAAAGGAAGAACTGAATATAAGCAAAGGTCATTGCTGGATTCAGGTGATCTGAACAGTACATCAGTTGCCAAAAATAGAACTACATCACTACACAGCTTGATAATGGATTTAGTAACCAATGCAGTAAATCAGGATGACTTTCGTGGTAAAAACCGTCGCTGCAATAATAGAAACACTATTAATTATTACCCTCAAGAAAATATTATTAACAAACAAGTTCAAGAACAGCAGTCAACAGATGAAATATATAATTACAATCGGTGCTATAATTACAACACTTCAACCCAATCTGGAACAAATGTTGAAAGTAATTGTAATATAGCGACACGAAATCAAACTAATCCGTTTATATCTAATGATATCTTCAATCAAAACAATATAAATAATGACAATCAGAACTTTGAATGTGGTAGGACCAATGTTGTACCTGACATTTATAAACAAAGGGACAATCTCGGCTACAGAATCGATAATTTTGAGTCAACTTTTAAACCATTTGTGCCGCACTTTTCGGCAAATTTGCCAGGAAATAATAATCCCTATAGGTGGACATCTTCAAACAATGCGGTACATCATCTTAAAGAACACACGGAAGTTGTGCCACAAGTAAACCCACCAGAAAGTGTTTATTGGCAGCCTAAAATGTATCAAGATATTCAACAACGGCAGGAACAGAATCTGCACAATGCGACAACTAATTATGAAAATCAATTGACAAATAGAAATTTTGTAATATCTAACCAAGAATATTCAATGGAAAATGTATCAAACAACTGCTTTGATAATCAGCCTTTTAATAGCGAGAACTCAAGTTTTATTTCAAATCCCTGCAATTCAACAATGCATCAACCAAATGCCAACACCAATTTTAACGATTACCAAAATATTACGGAACATCAGCTTTACGAAATTAATCGTTTTTATAGTTATGATCCAAAAACTGGACAACCAGAATTTGAATTAGAAACAAATTTTACACAAGAACCAATTAATCTTGCTGTGGAACATGGTGGAAGATTTTGAAGTAAAATGTAGGGTAGTTTGATATCATCTGTAAATTTAATTTAAAATAATTAACGAATAAAAAAATATATTGCATTAGACAATTATACAATAATAAAGTATTTATTAAACAATATGTTTTATCAATTTATTGTATTATATTTATTTTTATATTAATAAATATAAAATTTTTATATTATATAAATAAACACAGCTAAAATTTCTTAAATAGAGTCTTTTCTTTTTCATATAGTAATTCTGATGTTGAATTTATGTATAAAATATTCAAAGACACTGCATAAAATATCAAGCAAGCTTTTCAATTTACTTTTTTATTCCATATAAACCAGAAATATATTCACAAATGAAAAAATGTATAATATTGAAGAGTTTTTAATATGTAAGTGTTGTTGTATTTGTGTTGTGAGCTTTAAACAATGAATCCAAAATAGCAACAAAGAAATTTGTTAAACAAAATATTTTTTATTGTTGACTTGATTAGAAGATACATAAGAAAATTTGTTTTCTCAATTTCTGTTATTTCTTTTTTATGTTTTCTTTACATCTATTCATTTTAACTTTTATACCTTTTCCATTTCAGCTTATAATTAAGTTCTGGCACACCCTGTATATATAAATAATGCAACTCTAAATATCTATGCATATACTCTTCGTTGTTATTTAATTTAGTGCATTTGAAGATTTTATACATATATACAAATTTTACATACATACTTATATGCATAGTATATATCATATACATACAGTATACCGTGCCGTTGTATACTGTATGTATACCATATGCATATAACATTTTTATGTACATAGTATATATCATATACATACAGTATACCACACTGTTGTATACTGTATGTATACCATATGCATATAACATTTTTATATATCATATTATTTGAGTTTTAAAGTAAATTTTATGAATCAGAATCAGATGAAGAATAATTGCATAATAACTTGGAAGATGTAATATTTGTAGCACTGATTTCTTTCTCAGATTTTTGTTCTGTGGAAGTTATCGTTGAACTGGCTGATGAATGATTCTTTGGTAAAATGCCTAATGATTTTGTGCTTAAAGAAGATTTTAATAATTTTTCTCGCCTCAAACCTCCAAAAGATATCACAGTTGAACCTTGCAATACTGGTTTATTTAAAATATCCATATGCCTCGTTTTCTCATCTACTTTGTTAGGCTTCATAGCTAATAAAGAGGCTAATTTTATATCATCTTTATTTTCTTCTACTAATTTAATATCTAAACTTGCTTTTTTCAACAAAGCATTATCTTTCTCTTCAATTGATTGTAGTTCCTTTTTTCTTTTACGAAATGAATCTCTTAGAATTTTATTGGATTCATAACAATCATTCCATGTGTTTTCATTTCTTTGATATAACTTAGCTAAAACTGGTTTAGCATCTTCACCAGCTTTCAAATCACTGGCACCATGTTCTAATTTGAACATAGGGTCATCAAACAATCTTTTCTGAGTTTCTTTAGTTTCTGGTACAACTTGTTCATTTTGCAGTGGATCCCATCGATTTTCTTGTCGTCTTGCTCCAGAAACAATAACATAATCTAAATTACCGGGATCAGTCTTTATTTCAAAATGATTATCGCATAAATGACATTTCATTTTAAATTGGTAAATAGGAGTTGTGTAATACATTCCTATTTTAGTTTTTTCTGCATTATAACGCACACCCATGCCTATGTGATTATTGCATCCATCACACCAGATGTTATATGGCATTTCAAATCTTATGATAAGAATACCTAGATGAATTTTTCGGGCTCTTTCTCGCAAGGCATGGGTGCCCAGGAATTTGTTTAACCCTCCAGCCTTAGGATCATAGTCTGGAGGGTAGTATAGATTTGTTCCTTTTCGTTCTCCCATTTTGTAAAGGGGATATACAAAGGTTATAGAATAAATTAACACTTGATCACAAGTGCTTGTAAGGTCATAGGTTACTGACTACAAACTTCACGACGCAGTTTGATAATGTTATAGAAGTATGATTTTGTTTTTGACTCCTTGTTTTAACGGTGGATTGTGAAAATGGTGACTCCGGAAGTCATGAAAGAGAAATCCAGGTAGTCGAATTATGTTTTCTTAAATTGATTATTTAAAATTATATTTTATACAAAATATAAGCATTAATAGTATGATGCCAAACCTATTGCGAATAAAATTATATATTTTATCAATTGTCAAAATATACCATTTTCTTTAAAACGTTAATTATTGTCTAGGCTTTATTTTTAGGTTATCTAAATGTCAAATGTTTCTAATTCTGACATATATAACAATGGCTGCAGATGGCAACATTGAATGAGCCATATGCATAAACAATTAAATTACTATAATCGTCATTAAATTGTGCTTATCATTAATTACTTTCAAATATTAGTACATTATATCAAATAATAATTTTATAAAATAGAATATGCGTCGAAAAATACGTGGCCCCAGTTGACAGCAATCCTGAGTATCGTCCCGTTTTACATCTGGCAACACCGCAATACTTGAATAATTGACATTAATTATTTTATTGGCGATGTCATTGTTTAATAATTAATATTAATTTATGAAAGACATAAATGAAAAGGATTTTTAAATACATTTATGAATATTTCATACGTTGTAAAACTATAAATACAAATATGGCCGATAAAACTAAGGTTTTTATTTAATTTCCTCCCATTTTGATGAACAATATTTTAAAATGCATATTTTAATATTACTAGGACTTTCCTAAGCTAAAAAATGAGCGAATTCTCAAAGCTGCTAAAGGAGAAGAAGTAGATAAAGTTCCCGTTTGGGTTATGAGACAAGCAGGTAAGCAAATTATTCGCCATAGTAGTACCTCATTTTTATATTTAATGCATTTTAAATTAGGCAGATATTTGCCTGAATTCCAAGAAGTACGGAAACATCATGATTTCTTTGAAGTATGCAGAACCCCAGCTCTTGCCTGCGAGGTGACCATGCAGCCATTACGGAGATTCGATCTTGATGCTTCTATTATTTTCAGTGATATACTTGTTATACCGCAGGCAATGGGAATGAGAGTTGATATGGTGCCTGGTAAAGTTAGTCACTTCCATACTTCTTTATTATATCGACAATATATATTCCTCACCACTACATTAAATATATATTCTTAAAGAATAATGAAATATCCTTTAAGACTAATGACAAAAAATATACACATTAATATATGTTCAACCAGTACACAAAGTTTAATTTTGGCAAGATCCCAGTTTTAAAATTCTAAAATGATCATTATTTAATTATTCCAAACTTTCTTCACTGTTGTTTTAAAAATCAGTTCAAAGATAAATAAATTTTTTTTTTCAGGGGCCAGTCTTTCCTGAACCATTAAATCTACCAGAAGATTTAAATAAATTGGATATTGTGAGAGCAGTGGATAGGTTATATTATGTTTTCGAAGCAATAACATTAACTAGAAAAACCATAAATGGGAAAGTGCCTCTTATAGGTTTTAGTGGGGCACCGGTAAGTTAATAATAATACTTGTAAAATTTGGTTCTACTATTTATAGAATTTTAATTTTTTCTTTAATATTTCTTAAACAATGATACTGATTCATAATTTTAAAAAAATCTAACACGGTTTAAGAATTGAGACCATCCCTCTCATAACACAGTACTTAAGTTCGAGAATTGAGCAAGACCCTAACAAGATAAAAAATATAGTAAAACCTATGAAAATCAAATTTTCTTTAATCTGAAATTAGTAAATCGCCTTACAATAGCTCAATAAATGTGGTGAAACTAATGTAAAACATAACTAATTTGATATTTATTATTCATGCTCATACGTTCTATCTATAAATATATAAATATATAAGTATTTTTATATATTAATATCTTTTCACTAAAAGCAAGAAATCGCAAATATATTTTTTTTTTTAAATCTGGAGGTAGCACAGAAATCTGCACAGAGGATGAAGATATCTTGCAAAAAAATGATCGTGTTGGATAGCTCTTACTTGTTAATTATGACTAAATCACATTATTCATGTAATGTATATTACTTCTTTAAAAAAATTAATAAATATAATAATATTTAGTAATAAATCATGATATTTACCATGTTTTTTTTAATTTCAGAAGATAAAAGCTCTTTTATTTGTACTAATTTTTTGTCCCATATAAGACAGACTCGCATAACACGCTAGTATTTTGGAATGTCTCTACCGTGTTATATGGGGGTTACCTGTAATTTGTTTTTTGTTGAAACTTTATAAGAGTTATGTTCTCATACTTTGCAAGCCTCATGAACAGCACAAAAAATATAAACGCCACTAAAATTTCTACACTAGTTAAAATGGACTAAATGAAAATATGTCAATTGTATATATTTATACCAAATGCTTAAAATTAAAGTATTGGCCATTCTCTGGCTAATACTTTAATTTTTGTTTAATAATTGAAATATTCTGAATTCCTAAATTCTTGATAGAACTTTTCAAATATTGAGTTACGGATTAATAATATAACAGATATTACATTTATTTCTTTTTTCAGTGGACTCTAATGGGTTATATGATAGAAGGTGGTGGTTCAGAAACTATGAACAAAGCCAGAAATTGGCTAACAGAATATGAACATGCTTCAGAAACTTTATTAAATATATTAACAGACATAATTGGAGATTATTTAGTACATCAAGTTCAGGCCGGTGCCCAAATGTTAATGGTATTTGAATCTAGTGCTGAAAAGTTAACAAGGGAAGAATTTAAAAAATTCTGTATTCCAAGATTAAGAACAATATGTGAAAGAGTAAACAGAGACTTAAAATTGATGAAATTGGAACCTGTGCCTATGGTAATAAAGGAATATATATTATAGAATTTTGTGATATGAGTGGAACGAATGTTAATTGTTAAATATGAAAAATACAATACTCAGATTCTTAACACACACTTTATTTTGTAACTACAGATGTTTTGAGACCATGGTATGCCTCATCTTCAGTGTAAGTTCAAAAAAGTTACTTATATACTACACATTCTTTAATATTTTATTTAAATTACATTCAATTTTTGAAAATACAAAATACATCAACTATCACTTACAGAGCTTGATACAGTACTAAAACATGTGAAAAAATTTAGACAAATTTTAAGTATTGAGATGAAGAGACAAGATGGGTATTATTTATTAATTATATTTAATTTTTTTTTTGTGTTTGGTGTTTTTTGATTTAAAAAAAAAATAAATATTATTTAAATAAAATATTAAATAATGTATTAGTATATAATTTTTACTGTTTTGAAATTACACTGAAGATGAGGCCATGGTCTCAAAACATCTGTAACTATTTAATAAAGTGTGTGTTAAAAATCTGAGTATCGTATTGTTCATATTTACATTTAATATATATATATATATATATATATATATATATATATATATATATATATATATATATATTTGTAATACTTTATCAATTTTCAATTACAGATATTATTTGCTAAAGGCGCAGGGCATTCATTAAACGAACAAGCCTCTCTTGGCTATGATGTAATCGGTATAGATTGGTCAGTTGATCCGGAAATGGCCAGAGCTGCCGTAGGACCCAACATCACATTGATGGGAAATTTGAGTCCGCAGGATATGTTCAAAGAACCGGTAAGAAATAAATTCACAAGGTCCTTTGGTAAAAATTAAATCAAATCATTATCAATGATTTTAAAACACATATGATAAGATTTTAAGCTATATATACATGAATTAATTTGATTTGAATTGTTATTAATATATTTTTCTATTTTAGTCCGAGGTGGAAAAACTAACTACTGAAATGGTACAAAAATTTGGTAAACATCGTTATATAGCAAATCTTGGGCATGGCATTCTTCCAACCACACCAATTGAAAGTATGAAAACATTTGTTGATACAGTTCATAAAGCTATATAAATATGATTTGAAAAACAAATAAAACTAATATGGTGCTAGTTTATAATAAATATAACATAAATATCACATTTTATATATTGTTGAATAAAAAAGAAGGCTGAAATTGAACACGGTCTTTCATTAATTGAAGTGATTCTATTTGAATTATTGCTAAAACATTTCAATCATTAGAATTGTAAACTTAATAGATCTTTTATTGGATGATTCAATGCAAATGAGTCAAATGTAAATGTTGATGATTTATCCATTTTAATTTATTGTGTTTTTTTAAATATATGCCGCCAATATTGAAGCGAGAAATTCAAAATTTGAAGAATGAAAACATATGCAACTCTTAACTTTAAATATGGTACTTGCAATACAACAAATGTTGTAACAATTGCATTAATCATAATGATCAACTTCCAATATAAAGTGAAAGTATTCATAGATAATGTATAATATTTGCATATGATATTTTGAATTATTCAAGACAACTTTTGCAGATTTAAAGAAATAATGTAAGATAAATAAATCTAGAATAAAATAAAGCTAAAAAGTTAGTTTTATTACATTCACAGATTTTCATTAACCAAATTCGCATACCATTACACATTGCTCGATTACAATATATAAATTAAAAAAATTTTATTATGAATTAGCTTTCACCCAATCATCAAAGGCTTGAGTTTCCTCTTTGTTCAAGCGTTCCCTTTCTCTCGCAATCTCAATATCTCGTATACGTTTTTTCTCATTTTCAATCTCACGATACTGACTTGCTTCCATCGAATAAACAAGGTGATTTTTGAACCCATACACCATACCACATAACAAAGCACCATAACGAATAGCTTTTAATAAAGGACTTACTTGCACAGGAGGTTTAAAAGACTTCGCAAGCTCGTCGACTTCTTTCTGAATGGTTTTTGGTGGTGCATTTATTGTATCCTTCAGCTTCTTCAAAGCTTCAGAAAGCGCGGACTTCTTGGACATGTTTCTTCTATTTATCACTTAGCGTCACAGACAATTGTACAATTGATCGCAGTAAAATGTCAACTTACAATTATTGCTTTAATTTTAAATAAAAGTCATGACACTGCAAAACAAATGATTTTAAATTTTAATTACACTACACATGACACTATAGAAATCACGTTTTACAAAAATGAACAACTTTATTCATCAAAACTCTCGTGATAACTTCAATCGAGCACGTTATTCTTTCATTTAAGCACGTTTTAAACAAAACAACTCGGTAACAAAACTTCCAGAGACTTTTGCAGCCAACTTCACGATCTTAGCATGCTGACATATGACACCACTGACACATTGTCACATTCAATTGCCTTTCAAAGCAACATCTGGTAACACCATAAACAGCTAAATAATATAACTAGTGGTGTATGTATGGCAACTTGCCATAGGCAAATTGATTCGAGTTAAATGTTTTCAAATAGATTAGATTATTCCAAAAGATTATTATATATATATATATATATTGTAAAACTGTCTAATATTTATAATAATTATATAAACTGAATTGAAAAGTTGAAATGATTTGTTTTTAGTATATTAGAACCAGAATTGAAAAAAAAAATTGAACTATTTTCGATATACAAAAAAAAAATTTTTTTGAAAGAAAAAAAAAACTTTTGACAAAAAATGACATTTTTTTCCAAAAGCAATTATTTTGTTAAAGCAAGCGAAAGTTCTTTGAATCATTCAAATCGGGCGCTTAATTCTCTCAAAAACTGCCATTTTTGCCATTTAGCTCTATACCTTTGAAATGGCTGGACCTGCCTTTGCCAAAAACTAATCACCTCTTCTCCGAATCATTACAAATTGAATGTTTTTTAGATCATTCAAATCGAATGCTAGGTTCTCTCAAAAACTCGATTTGTATTTTCTACACTCTTTTCTCCGTATCTCCGTAACGGCTGGACCTGCCTTTGCCAAAAACTAATCAGCACATCCCCCTATCAATAGGAATTGCATGTGTTTTGAATCATTCAAATCGGTAAATTCGTGCGCCCGAAAACGTGGACGAAAACGCGGATATACAAAACACACACACACATCCATTTTGTCTGAGGTATGCCCAAATGTTTAAAAACCTTCAAAACGTGAAGATATGCAAACATTTTCATTTTTGATTTTCGGCCCATTACTATAACTAACAAAATACAAATTTATTGCGTTTTATAATTCCTTGGTTTGATAACATTTAAATCTGCAACTCTCATAATTAATTTAATTTTGGTAGACAAAATGGTATTTAAATATATCCAAATTATACTCATATAGTTCACAAAATACTAAATACTTAATTTGTTAATAGTAAAATTACAAATACGTGGAATGACTTTGATACTTTCAAAAAAAGATTTAAAGATTTAAACCTTTAAACATTTAAACCTTTAGCTTTAATTCTATTTGAGTTTGGATATTATTCCACATCTGACAACACCAATGAATTCGTAAGCTTTGGTTGGTAGCGTGTTTTATGCCGATTTTCCTTTTACTGAAGTAGTTTTTGGAGAAGGTTAGTGTTCCAAAACTGTGATATTTAATCTTTAATCATCGGGTTTAAACTAGCATGTAATTATTTATTTTTAGTGATAATTTGAAAGGAACAATGTAGACTTTTAATTAGTTTGTAAATTAACGTCGTGTAGCTAAATTTTTTGTCCATATATTAAATTGTACACATCCACATGTCGGTTCTGCTAAGTATACACATAAGATATATTTTATGTTTTAGACTATAAAAATGGCTAGAGCTAAGGGAGAAAAGAAAAACAAATCTGCCATCAATGAAGTGGTAACCCGTGAATACACAGTTAACCTTCATAAACGCCTCCACGGCATTGGTTTCAAAAAAAGGGCCCCCAGGGCTATCAAGGAAATCAGAAAGTTTGCCGAAAAGCAAATGGGTACCCCAGATGTCAGAGTGGATACTAGATTGAACAAACAATTGTGGTCCAAGGGAATTAGGTTGGTCTAAATTAAATCGACTTATGTTTTTCACATATTTGACAGCTTGAAGATTTTTTTTTCTCGACAAATATTAATGTTATTGTTGGCTTAAAAATTAATCCGACACTTTATCTTAAACTATTCTTTGAAGAGGCCACAAACTTGGTCTCAGAAAGATGTCGGTTTCGGTTTATTTTTCAGTGAAGTACTTTGGAAAGATGTCGAAGAAAGTACATACTTGGCAGATGTAATTAACTTGTGCCACTAATCCATGGTGATGTTTATAAATACATTCATTGTCTTCATTCTCAAATATGTGAATCTTCATAAATTAAATGAGATGATAAAATCTGTTTTCCCACTTGTCCATTAAATTCTATTGGCAAATCAAATTGTTTCTTATGCTGAAATGATCTAATGATTATTAAATTTTTCAGGAACGTTCCCTTCCGCATCCGTGTGCGTTTGGCAAGACGTCGTAATGACGATGAAGACTCTGCCAACAAATTATATACTCTTGTTACATATGTACCAGTTGCTACATTCAAAGGATTACAAACAGAAAATGTAGATGCAAGCCAAGAGTAGATTGTAATTATTTCATAAAATAAATTAAAATCGCAAATATTGTTTCATTTTTCAATTCTTAAATTTTCAGCTGCTTTTGAACTTGAATCTTAAAATGTTCAGAGTAAAGTGTGAAATCAAAAACTATAAAATATATAAAGCAAATTGAAAGTTATTAATGTTAATTTTTAACATTAACACTTATTTATGCTATTTTAACAATTTAAACTTAAATTTTGTTGTAATTTTAATAACTGAAAACCAACTTAATTTGATTCATTTAATCTTCAGTGGCATTGTTTTGAATTTTTAGGTAAATGCAATTATTTATAAGTTTTGTGAGTTGTTAGAAAAAAATTTGACCAATTGAATTTCTTAATTTTTTGACTGAAATTTATGAAAACAACTTATCAGTTACCTCATTCATTCTCCACGAATTTTTTGAGCAGGCTGAACTTTTTATATTAAATTGGATCTTCTAAGAAAATGCAATTAAATTGTTTTGGATGATTTTTGAAGTTCTGTTAAATAACCTTTGTAATGAATTTCAAAACATAAAATTAGTGTAATAAACGGAATTGAGTAAAATACTAGCCTTACATAAACGTTCAGCGTACTTTATGGGTTTTGAACAAAAAGAAGTAATTCCCATATGCACAATATCTTTTGCATTTCCGCATGACGCATGCACATGTGTAATATAAATATTGCTATTTGCTGTAGGAAATCATTAGCGCTAAAATTAAAATATATAATTACACTCAAGTTGAATTATTAATTTATTTGAATCAATAAGTTAGATATCATGAAATTAAAAAATACATAAAATTCGATTAAAAAAAACTGTTCTTTCATTGTTTGGCAACATAATTGTGAACACCTAAGATAAGAATATAAAATTCAAATGACATTGTGCAATATCAAATGGTACCCCTTAAAACTATTAAATGGAAATATATGATTAATTTAGTCCGGACTTTTGATATCACAGTTTCAATGATGCTCATTTCTAAACTGATCATAACTAAACTTAACAATCATAATTCCTTTCCAATTGGTCATAACTTAGTTTGCCACTTTTGGATTGATTGATAATAAACACTACACCTCTTATTATTCTTTATCTAATTTTGAATATTTTATAACAGTCTTCCTCTACATACAGATGCTCCACATTTGCAGTACATTACTTTACCAGGAACCGAGTTGACATCATAATTGTAATTCCATGTTAGTTCAGTACCAGCACGTATGAAAGTTAAAGCAAAGAATGCCACCCAAGGAAAGCGCAAGTCGTGAGTGTCCACAAATACATTTTGCACAAATACATTTGGATTGCAAGAATGCTGAAATAATAAAATAAACATTATTAGTAAATGTGTTTTAAATATTTCACAAGTGAGAAAAATTACATTCATAAATAGCTCTATAAAGTAATAAAATTTACATCGTCCTAGCTGTTCTTTATCACATATTATATGTTGAAAATGAAAACTTTTATATATATTTACGTTTCAAAGGTTTCTGAACATTTTGGCATAATTTAGGAAAAATGGATGTATGTGTATGTATGTGTGTGTGTATGTATGTGTGTGCGTGTGTATGTGCGGATACAAATTTTAGTCAACGATTTCGGAAACAAGGACCAACCGATTTCAATAATTCAAAAAACATTCGATTCCTATTGATAAGGAGACGTGCTGATTACTTTTTGGCAGAGGCAGGTCTAGCCGTTCCGAAGACACGGGCAAAAAGTGGCAAAGACGGTAACGATATCAGGATGACATTCAACATTTATCATCTTTGATTATACAAACAAGATAATACTTCTATGTTTTTAAAATTTACCTTAAAATATATGAATTGATATTAAGAGAATACATACATTCAGGTATCGGCCAATATTTCCTATAGTCTTAGCATCCATAACATAACAGTATTCATCTTCTCCATAAAGAAGCCGAAAAGATCTAGATAGAAAAAAAAAACAAATGTATAATAAATATTCCTAATAATCTTCTGAAAACTATTTAAAAGAGTTTAAATACTTGTATTCTGTTTCAGGTTCTTTTTGCTCCAAGTCCTTTGTAGGAGCAAAACTACTTGGCTCTCTCAAAGGTTCTGAAAATATTTGAAATGCATTTTTATTAATATATAAAAATAAAGTATAAACTAATCTTCAAATTCTTGCAGTGGTTATGTTACGGTAAATGTGCACTCTTGGTGAATGTGCACATTCACCGGTGAATGTGCACATTCCCCAAAACGCTAGGTGAATGTGGCGTGTTCTCAAAAAATCAAATTAAAACAATGGTGTACGTGCGTGTACTTGGATCGGTCTCATGAACATCTCGCGTATTTGGCGCATGCGCACTAAATAGTTATTCGGTTAATAGTGAATAGTTGAATAGTAAAGTGGTAATATAGTGTATAGTGAATAAATAATATTAAATAGCAAATAGTTAATAGTTAATTGTTAGTTAAATAGTAAATTGTGAATAGTGGTAACTGAATAGTTAAATAGTTAGTAGTTGAATAGTGAATAGTTAATAGTGAATCGTAATAAGTGAATAGCTATTAGTAAATAGTGAATTTAGAATAGTTAAATAGTGGATAGTTAAATAGTGAATAGCTAATAGTTAATTAGTTATAAGTAAATAGTTAATAGTTAAAAAGTAAATAGTTAAATAGTTAATGGTGAATAGTAAATAGTAAATAATGAAAAGTGAATAGTGATAACTAAATAGTTTAATAGTTAATAGTTAAATGAATGAATAGTAAATAGTGAACAGTTAATAGTAAATAGTGAATAGTAATAACTGAATAGTTAAATAGTGAATAGTTAATAGTAAATAGTGAATAGTTGTTAGTAAATAGTGAATTAAAAATAGTTGAATTTTGGATACTTAAATAGTGAATAGTTAATAGTAAATAGTTGAATTGTAAAATAGTGAATAGTGAATAGTGATAACTGAATAGTAAATAGTGAATAGTTAATAGTTGAATAGTAAAATAGTGAATAGTGAATAGTAAATAGTTGAATAGTAAAATAGTGAATAGTGAATAGTAAATAGTTGAATTGTAAAATAGTGAATAGTGAATAGTGATAACTGAATAGTTAATAGTAAATAGTGAATAGTTAATAGTAAATAGTTAAATAGTAAAATAGTAAATAGTGATAACTAAATAGTTAATAGTAAATAGTAAATCAAGAATCGTTAAATAGGTAATAGTTAATGGTTAAATTGTTAATAACTATTAATTAAACACTTAATAGTTTATAGTTAATAGTTAATAGATAAATTGTTAATGATAAATAGTTAATAGTTAATAGTGAATAATGAATAATGGATATTAATATGCATATGACTAAAATAAATAATATAAATATAAATATAAATATATGATTTAGTATTTCACCCGCGCGTTGAACTCACATTCGCCAAATGAGCCGGCAAATGTGCACATTCACCGGTGAATGTGCACATTCGCCGAAATATTCACTTTTACCGTAACAGTTATATATCTACCAATCAAATAGATAATTATCTAGACTAAATCAATTCTTATGTAAATAAAAGAAAAACAGCAATAAAATACCATCTTCATCTGATATAGTGATGCATTCTGTAGTGTCCAGATCCCAAGAAGACAGTCTGCTTTCCAAATCATGCTGGTTATCAGGATCAGGTTTAATTTTCAATTTCTCTGCATCATTACTGCATTCATTCTCTGAACTATGTTTTCCATCTTCAGAACTCGGTTTAGTTAAAATATTACTATTACTATTACTATCAGTATCTGCCGAATCACGTTTCCTTTTACTAAGTCTTGTACTGCATAAAAGTAAAATAACATAAAAAATTTGATTAAGACAAGAAAAGTATCTAAACCATTTCAAATTCATTTGAAACATATAGCTATAAATAAATATAAGATATAGGTATTTGAAACATATAAGTAACAATTAAGATTGTTACCTAATTGCAGCTCCTGTATGATTTGATTGAGTATTCAGGCTTGGAAGAAATTCCTCATCAGAGTCTCTGGTCATAGAGCCATAATCTTCATATTCTTCCTCATCGTCATCGTCCTAAGAGAACATTAGAAGAGACCGTTATTAAAAATTTAGGAATATGTTAAATCATCCTGAATCGCTGAAACTTGTAGCTTTTAAATAGAAATATGAAAATTTAATTTTGAAGAAAACAATAGTAAATAACATATTATATTGTACAGTTATACAAGAATAAAATAAGAATATGTAATGTAGAATATTAATAGTAAATAATTTTTTTAATAAGATTTTTTTTAGTTGAAATTTAATAAAACTGAATTATCATCAGCAATCTGCCTTTATGATATTGCTTAATAATATATACTAAAAGGCTATTAATTGAAGTTTGTTAATATTAAATTATAATTGTTCAAAAGTGACGTTCATTGAAGAAATAAGATACTTATTTTATATTTTAGATAGCATCATCTATTAAATTTATGAAAATACCTTTGAGAAAATGTTTATATTTGTCGAACTTGGATATAGTGTTCCATTTATTTCTTACTTCACTTTGACTTAGTTTAAATGCATGAGGTTCCCTTCAAAATATAACAATGTTTTGGAATCCTCCAATTATATAAATTTACTAACTCATGCTTACATTCTTTAGAGTATTATTATAACAATATACTTATTAGTCAAGTCTATACTTTTTAATACTAATATATTTATGTTCATTTTATTTTATTAAGAATTAGGATACTAAATAGATCTTTCATATCCGTATTTAATTTCCCCAAGGAAGGTTTGTTTACATAAAAAAATCCGATTCGCTAATTTTATGTTTTCTCGACGTTTCAAGCCATTCTGAATCGAATGAGATCAAATTTGGAAAACGTATGTGTGTGTGTATGTGTATGTGAACAGATTTTTTGCCGTAAATCGACGCTTTCTCAAAAACGGCTGGACCGATTTCAAAATTTTAAAAGCCAGTCGATGTATCTCGATGAGTACTAGCGTTTATCAATTATGCGCGACGATCAGCCAAGCCGTTTCTTTGTAAATCGCAGAAAAGTGTTAAACTTTTCAATCACATTTAAGCTCATACTACAGAATCGATTTAAAAAAAATAAAAAACTGTTCGAAAGACATTAATTGGGAATGATATTGATTAGTTTTAGGTGAAAATCTACCGAGCCGTTTTCTTGTAATTAACTGTTGAAAATAAAATTTAAGCCGATTTTTATAGAACTTTTTTTGGCGATATATATCATGGTCTTAATGAACTTACTGAAATATTACTGCCTTACGACAAGTAGCTTAATTTTAAAAATTCATCAAAGTTTGAGAAAATGAGTAGTTTTTTTGAGTAGTCCTATGGAAACTGGTTCAATAAAAATTATTGATTTTTGAAAATTTGCTTTTAGAAAATACTCCGAGATAACGTGTTTGTTCCTTTTCAATAATGTGTAATAAATCCACTCGGAAAACTTTTAATCACTCATAAATTAATTTATTTTTTATTGATTAAGTCGATTATTTACACGTATCAGTAAGTTCATGTAACTTGCCTCAAGACAAAATACCAATACCAACTAGTTATATTTTGTTTAGTCAATTAAAACTTACTGGATCTTCTGGAGTGGAAGGTGAAGCATCTTGATCTAAATCAGGATTTATAACATCTTCTTCATAACCCTCTTTTAATTTTTCTACAACTTCTATATAATCCAGTTCAGCAAAATATTCATCGCCGTATGCCGCTCCTCCCTGAAAATATGGAATTTCATACAAATTAAAAAACATGATTAATAGTATCATTTAAATACTGGTATTACGTATTATATAAGTTTCATTACCGCATTGGCTTTAGCTTCAGTGAGCAGGTTGCCAGCATAAATACAAATAAAAGTTCCTTGAGGTAGATCGTTCATACACCTGATTCCCCATCCACGGTCTTTCGTTTTGAATACTTGTAATTTCTCTTGCAGTGGTCTTTGAGCGACACGATTCAAACATGTCGCAGAACATTTACATCTACAAAATAAAAAAGTTTAAATGCTTACATGTAAGTTTAATCTATTTCATTTTGATCTATTTAGTCCTATATCTGTACTTCATTTATACCACATCATAAATTTTAATGAACAATTATAAAATTATAATTTAAGGTAAAATACAAATTAAACCAATAATACACCTAAGTCTGTTTTTACACGGTCTTTTTGTACACGGTTTTGATATAACACGGTTTGAAAATTGAATATTTTTAATTTTTTTTACACGATTTTATTCCATTTAGCACGATTTGAAATTTTATGTACTTAAATTTTTTTGTCAAATTTAATTTTTGCGAAGTATGTTCATATCACAAAAAAGTATTTATGAAAGAAAAAAGTCTGAAACCATCGATAGTATCGATAGTATCGATAGTTTGCGAACACTAGCTTAAAGATTTAAGTGAATTCCCCTTTAGCGCGTACAAACAATTTTTACTGGTCAAAGCAAATGTGAATAGCACTAATTTAATCCTTGTTCTTAAAAATTCTTGCTTTTCACCAATTTTAATAGGTTTTAGAGATTAGGAACAAATCACCCATTTTTGTATAAGATCAATGTCTTTTTTTACACGTTTTTTTTTTACACGACTTCTTCTGGAACCAATCTCCGTGTAAAAACAGACTTAGGTGTATATCATTATTTCACCAACCTAGAATTGCATTCATAAATTCCAGTGGTGACAGGTTCCAACAATCGTCTATATTGGTAACCAATTTCTTCTTCAGATAATTCGGGCTGTATACATTTTGCACCTTCTATTGTTAATTTCCAACAACTGCACTTAGTTTTATCCTGTTAATATTACATATTATACAAAGTTGATTAATCAATTCAATGAACAAATTAAATTAACCAGTTGTAAGAGGCATTTTGTAAGGTGACCATACGTCCCGGTTTGTCCGGGACAGTCCCGGATTTGCCCTTGTGTCCTGTTTTTTTTAAAAGCATTATTTTGTACCGGATTTAGATCTTTTGTCCCGAATTGTCACGGTTTTTCGAAAATTAACAGATTAATTAACAAAAATTTTGAAAACAAACGAACAAGAGCTATTTGTTTAAAATTATTTATAAATAAAATTGAATGAAATATTATACAAGGCTCAAAAGCGCGAAAAACATTGAGATCGATGTAAGATAAAATATTATAGATAAAAAGTCTGCATATAATCGAATAATGAAGTTCTTACTAAAAATCCGCAATTCTTATAAAAAAAAGATTTATATAAAAAAAACTGATATTATGTACCCCCCGTTCAGGATTATCATAACTAAAAGTTGCCGTCCCAGTTTTGACAGAAAACTATGGTCACCTTACATTTTGCCTTAAGGCAAGTTGCTTGAACTTCCCAACACATATAAGTTATCAATGAAAAATCAATATATTAACTTATGAGTAAGTATACAGAGTTGGTGTAGAGATCATAATGTGAAAAACTATTGCAGATTATTTTGAACCAGTTTTTTTATTATACCACTAATAAGTGCCTAATACATACACATAGTATTTTAATTAATTTTGGTAATTGAACCACTTTTCATAAGACTAAAGGCACTATGCAAAGGTTTCATAAAAATCTTCGATTTTTTTCAACAATCAATTTCAAAGAACAGCCTGGCCTGGCTGAGCTCTGTCAAAAACTAATCAGCACGGTTTACAAAAGTGATATCTATCGAATAGTTTTTGAATTTCCAGAATTGATTCAGGATTTTGGCTAAAACGTAGATGAACAATCTTGCACGATTCTGATGATTCAAAAGAAACGGCATAACCGATCGTATCAAAAAACTAATCAATGCTAGTCCTTATTGAGTTACATCAAATGGTTTTTAAACTTTTGGAATAGATTCAGCCGTTTTTGAGATAACTGCGATAAAATGTATAAAAGTCGGCTCATATACACACACACGTATATACCTTTTCCAAAATTGGTCTCATTCGATTCAGAATAATTTGGAAAAACATAAAATTAGCAAATTGAATTTTCCCGCGAAAACAAAATTCTCGTTCGGAAAGTTAATAAATAAAAAAATACTTATATAAAGTTTATACAAGTTAAATAAGTTAATAGACTAGACTCATGATCATAATGAATAATCATCAGCAATTGTAGCAGACCTTTACTAACTATTCTTTTTATCTACTGAAATAACATTTATCTTATTAATAATCTGGCAGTACCTGGCAATCGTCTTCACAATCACAACCACATAAAAATTCTTCATCGAGATTCAAATTCACACCTTCCGTAGGTATACGAACTGTAGAATAACTAGAATATTCAGGCATGTCATGATCGTAATAATTCACACAAGGCACCGGCATGCTTTCCATTCCATTAGACAAATCCTAAAAATAATAAATAAATCATTTTGCATTGATTTTCTCAAATTTTCTAAAACTTTCATTATACTGAAAAGATATTTTAAACTTATAATTAATAAAAATATTTGGGCAAATAGCGTATTTTATTTTTTATGTTAAATTATCAGAATAATTATTCTTTATTATTTAACAAAAACTGAATTCCAAGTGTTATACCTGTTGAATTAGTGGTACACTTTATCAGAAATAAGAAAAAGTATATTAATAAATCTTACATCCCGAAGTAATTTGTATCTTTCCAAAACAAATTCAGCAAGGCAGTGAACCCACGAATCATAATCGAAACAATCAACTCCCAAAGTACAACCTGTCAGTCTTAAGTAAGTATGCAGTTCTTTCATATTTCTCAGTCTTCTTCCACAAGGGGCTCTGTAAATGACTACCACCTTTTTCGATTTTCCTTTAACCAGTAACCTATATATAATAAAAAAAAAACTATTAATTTCTATAAATTGGGTAATTTAATTGAATCTAATAATATATATTATGAATTAAATGTTACCTTGTTTTACTCAATCGCATAAAATAAAAGTATACAGGATTAAAATACAAAAAGTTAAATTTTCAATTTAAATTTAGATGAATTTAAGTAAATTCATTTGCCAATTGAAAGAAAAAGAAGTGTCTTTACTATATATATTTTACTATACACATATGTATTATATATATATATATATATATATATATATATATATATATACATGGTCTGTTCAAAAAGTACCCGGAATTACTAATAATTAAATTTCGCGGGTCTGGAGTGTCTGATTGTCAAAATTTTTTTTTTATTGTGTTGGTATACATGCCCCTAAAGTATGATGAAATTTTCAGCTATATTCACTGTTTACTTTGTCTGTGGTAGTCGCTAAGGTTCGACGTGTTTTTCTGAGCTCGGCGATTTTTACAATGGAAGAATTGAAAAGTCAAAGAATTTGTATTAAATTTTGCGTAAAAAATGAAATAAAGTGTTGCAAAGTGCAAAAATTCACCAGATATGGCTCCGTGTGACTTTTTCCTATTCCCAAAGTTGAAGAGACCCATGAAAGGACGGCGGTTTTCCTCGATTGAAGAAAATCGCTGAGAGTGCTCAAGGACATATCAAAAAGTGAATATCAAGGGTGCTTCGAAAATTGGAAAAAACGCTGGCATAAGTGTATTATATCTGGGGGGGACTACTTTGAAGGGGACCACATTAATGTAGACGAATAAATAAATATTTTTTTGAAAAAACGAAAATTCCGGGTACTTTTTGAACAGACCTCGTATATATATATATATATATATATATATATATATATATATATATATTAGCGCTGGATTAACAGTAGGGGCAATCGGGGCTACTGCCCAGGGCGGCAAATTTCGGAGGGCGGCAAAATTTGGATTGTGAGAAAAAAATTCTATACAATATAATCAACTTGTTTCTAACAACATTTTTTATTTCAAAAAATATAATCAACAAAATATAGTACGATTGCAATGCAAAATTTGAGTTGAAATAACCGATAACTAAAATTTATTATTTTGCATTGCCTCCCTCTCCGAACGTAAATTTTCAAATTGTTTAATAAGTTATCAAATTTGGCAATTTGGCTAATATAAAGATCCGTAAACAAGCTGAAAGTTTAAGAAAAATATGTACTTCAGTTCTCGAGCCCTCTTAAAATGACGAATTTGTTTCGCTTATAGCGACGAAAGAAAATTTAAACTAGTGACTCATGGCATTGTGCCTTAAGACAAATTACTGAAACATCCCATACTGAAAATTACATTTTATATACTGAAACATTACATTGACATTTGGACAGGTGTGTGTTCAAAAGTTATATTATGAACCGAATCTTCTTATTTAAGTAGTGGTCTGTTATATCTAGGAATAGGTTATTCGACAATTTTTGGATTGGATCGAATCCAAATTTAGGATTTTAATTTAAATAATCTACTCATGGCATTGTGCCTTAAGACAAATTACTGAAACATCCCATACTGAAAATTACATTTTATAAAGAGCTTTAAATTTTTTGAGAAATGAAAAAAAGACTTTTAAAACACATTTTTTGTATTTTGAAATTTTTCGAAAATATGAACTTTTTCCAGAGAAATCGCGCTGCGTAGCTGTTTCAGAGAAAAAATATCGAAACTCAATTACCATTTTTCGTAATTGCCTGTACCAAAAGCTAATCAGCACGCCTCCCCATCAATACAAATCTAATATTATTTAATTATTCAAGCCGATTTCGAGAACACAGATCAACCTATTGAATGATTCAATTCCTATAGATAAGGAGACGTGCTGATTATTGGCCAAGACAGGTCCAACTGTTTTGTAGATACGGGCCAAAATTCCAAAATGCCACAAATGATCATTCAGTTTTTGAAAAAAAAGCGTCCAATATCATTCAAAAAAATTTACAGAATAAATAACTGCTTAAATTTGTGGGGGGCATTTTTAAAGGTTTCGATGATCCAATAAAAAAAATTAAAAAAGAAACATTTGACGGACAAAAGTGATCATAAAACATATTTACATTAAATTATCAGATATTTTAAAGATATTATAATAATAAGTATAAATTTTGTTTACATTCATATGCGTTCTGAAACATTGTTTCATCCGTTAGACTGCGACGCGGCGCTTCCGCGCTTCTATATTTTGTCCCTACGCAGCTGAAGCAGCGCGATTACTTTAAAAAAAGTTCGAAAGTTCGTAAAATTTCAGGGATGGGGCGGCATTTTTGTCAGTGCCCCGGGGCGCCAAATTTCTAAATCCGGCCCTGTATATATATATATATATATATATATATATATATATATATATATATATATATTACTAAAATATATATTTTGATAATAAAAATATTCAATTTATATCACTTAAACCGTGAAAGGATTAAGCAATTTTCTTCATTAAGTTTTAACTTGTATAGCAATTCTAAAAAAATAAATACATTTCATAGATAAATGAATAAAAAAATTAACTAACCTTTGCCATCCTGAGAGCAAGGGCTTAGATAAAGGACTGTATCCTTTCAAACTGTAAGGCAATGCGCGAAGACATTCTTTTCCACAATTGTGTGTTTTGAATTTTTGTACTTCCATCGGCGTTTTCGCCCTATAAAACTGAAAAATAAAAAATTGCAATGTCAAATGTGAAACGAAATTAAAAACATTTATATGATTACAAAAATTATAACTATAATATGTTTAATATTATTAATTTTTATTTAGTGTTATATATTTGTAGTTCATATTAAGTGTTATACAAAGCTATCTATCTATGAACACTCAATACTCCAATTTTCTCACAAATTATCTTTAGATTATAATTTGTACACTTTAAAATGTAATTATACTGTATTATTGCCTTGGGCGTTGAATAAATAAATAAATAAATAAATAAATAAATATTATAAAATTCATTAAATTTAAATTATTGCTATAAAAATAATATTTTAACCAGGTGTAGGTAGCATTTTGCCTCAAACCAGTAGTTTCCAACTTTTCAGTGCCACGCCCCCTTGTTTTTATTAAAAAATTATTGCGCTCTTCTTAATTTTTCTTACTATCTAATTTTATATATATACTGATATTATAATTTAATTATCAGGCAACTAAATAAGTGAAAATATACATAAAAAATAATTATTATTAATTCATTCTTTAAAATCAATGCAAAGTTGTTGGCTTATTTTGGAAAACAGTTTTTTGAAAGTAATAAATCCACTTAATAAATAATAACTAAAATTTTGCTACTTTTAAAATTGTTACGATACAATTTGAAATTTTGAACAAATTCATTATTATTCCAAAGTGTGATGAAACCTTATGATTAAAGCATTTTTCGTAGTCATACAATATTTTGGAATAATCGTTAATACCATATACTCTTTCATCAAGCAAACTTTCAACAAAATCGTCAACATTTATTTTTCTAACAATTAATTACGAAAAAACATCCGCGCCGTTTAATATCTTTCAAACAGTTTTTGAAATTCCAAAATCTGTTCAGGATTTTTAGGCAAAACAACCTAATTTTGCGTTTATCTTTTGTTAATTTTAAAAATCGTCTCGCATAACTATTCCACTTGGAGTTTCATAAAATGACTTTCAAATTTTTAATATTAGTAATTACATTGTTTACAAACATTACATAGTTATGGATTCACAATATCATCGAAAAAATAAAATTAACAATCGAATTTTCCATTGAAAATAAATTTTTCCTTCGGTGGGTTGATTTAAACTTACAAATGCTGCAATTGTCATACTTCAAATAACTGATTGAGGCAAAACATTTTAAACAAAGTATATTTTAAATTATTTTTTATGCTATATATTTATGTATCAAACCAAAAAATTTAAAATTTAGAAAATATATTAAAAATTGATAAAAAATGAGGAATGATTAAAGAATTTGCCTACAAATATTTTACCTAACATCTCATTATAACTAAGAAAACAAATTCAAATTAAGATTCACACATTCAGTTAAATCAAATGTTCAAAATAGTAATAACTCACTATAACTTTTCCTTGAGATCCTTCATAAAGAGGCTTGACAGTTTGCGGTTCCATAAGTTGCTGATTTTTGACTGAAACTGCTGTGGTGCTCTTTTTAGCTTTATTGGCAGAGTTTGCTTGCTTCGACGCAAGTGAATTTGTACTAGGTTTTATTTCTTCTTGATTTTTAGGTACAGCAATCCACACTTCATCATCATCGATTCTTGTATACTCTACATACGGCATGTTTTGATTCTAAATATAAAAAAAGTTGCATCTATAGATGAATTATTTTTCCAATTAGTATAATGTTCTGCTAAAATGTAATATAATAATATCACATTTTACCAATGTATCAAATTCGGTTTCAATTAAGCAAGCATTTACACATTTTTATAAAATCATTTGATTATAGTAAGTTTTATTTAGAAGAATATTACAATAACAACAATTATTTTTGCAGAAAAAATTTCTATCACTTAACATTCCGCAAAAAAACACATAAAAGACATAATATTTATAACTCAAAAAATATGATATTTTTAAAAATAAATTTATTACTCATTTGCAATGTTTTATCCTATTATGTCTTTGCTGATATATTTGATATAAGAGCAATAATTTTAGAAAATAAATAAATTTATCTGTACCTTTCTGACTATATGCATAGGTCTATGTTTTCCATCTCTTCTATTATCAGCATTTTGGATTTCCAGATACAAAGGCGCTAAAAAATTATGAAATAAATAAAACATTCTTGCTTAGTTAAAAAAAAATAAAATAAAGAAAGACAGGCTACCTAATCTTGTAGAACCTCTGTATATCCATTCAGATCTATTATTATCAACAAAAAACATTTGAACCAAACTGCAATCCAGAGATATAACTCGAGTTTTACACCAGTTACCTGAAAATATTAAATAAAACTAATTATATTTAATAAATGAAGCAATTCGAATACTACCCGTAATTGTTTTTATTTGAAACTTATACTCATACTATATTAGATACCAGATATAATAATAGTATTGCTACTACTTCTTATAAATGATAAATGATTTACCAGCATATTCAGTCCTCATAACATGGCCAACTTCTGTTCTAACCATTGGTCTTTCGGGATAATTTTTCAAATATTTGTGTATGAAGGCTGCAGCATTTTTACTGACATCCTCCCAAACACAAACAGAAGATTCCAAAATGCGCCGAATTCGCGAATGCTCCACATACAGGGCATAACCATCATCAAAAAATATTAGATATCTAGAAAATAAGAATAATACATCTTACAAATCAAAACTTAACAAAGCATCTTAACAAGAAAAAAATTACTAGTATCTATATTATTATTATATAAATCTATATATTGTAGTTATTCAGCAAATAGTGTAAACAAATTAATATCAAATAAATAATATTCACAAATGTTTATAAAGATGCAAGTTGAAAATTGATTTAAAAAATACTACAAATCCAAAAACGTATATAAATATAAACTCTTTATGATAAATATGAATACAACAATTAGGATATATTGAATATATAAATAGTTGTAAATAATGTTATTCATTGCATTTGGAATTACAGTGGTATAATTTTTCTTTACGAAAATCGTTGTTGTTACAACCGATGATATTTTTCATCTTATCATTTTAAATCAGCATTCGCTCAGAAAACTCGCTCAAAGCTCGTGTGTCGAAAAAACGAGTCACTCCTTTGCGCTCGTATCTTGAATCACTCGTAAGTTGGGGTACCAATGTATTTCTTTCATTTTATATATCAATAACTGAATCCCATAAATAATCATAATTAAGCTTAAAAACTAATATTACAGTATATTCTACAAAAAATTCAATAATTTTGTTTGAAAAATATTTAGAAATATTACCGATGACGATTTGTGCTTAATGGTGGTTCCGCAACAATTCCAGCAAAAAATGAATCCCTTTTCATATTTGAATCCCTGCATATTGCTATCACTCTGGTTCCTAAAAAATAAGTTAAATGTTACAAATATAACAATTTTGATCAATAGCAAGAAAATGAAAATGACAAAAATCTAAGAATTTGTTTTACTGTTATTCATTTTATATGTTGGCAAGTAAATCAAAATAATATTACTACAAATTTAATTCAAAAACAACAACAAATTATTATATGATATAAAACACTCATCAGAACAATAAAATATTAAGTATAATTAATACCATACTTAGTTGTTAAGAATAAAATTAAGACTTTATTATATCATACCAAAGTAGCATAAATAGTTAAGATTAGTTTACCTGTGGGTAAACGTACAGGACTTGGTGATGGACAAGCAATTTGTTTTCCATTGACTTGTCTGTATAGAAAACTGCTTTCATTTTCAGATGATGTTCTAAATGTAACTTTTACCACACTAAATACATTCTCCGCCTAAAATAATAATATGTAAACGTAACTATACATTTTTTAATTAAAATGACATTATAGTAAGCAAAGAATTGCATTGGTTAATATCAATACTCGTTCAAAGAATGTTAATTTTAGTATGCATAATGCAAAATATTACTTGCTATGCTAATATTAATACAAATATGTTACAGCAATGACTGTAATCGACAATCAATAATAATTGATTATGAAAATGTTAAATTTTTCAACTGTTTATTTCTCTTCAGCTAAAAACTAAACTAGTGGGGCGCATGGCTTCGTGCCTTAAGACAAATTGCTGGAACTTTCCGTACCAAAAATTATTATTTTTTTGAAAAGAAAAACATTGTTAAAAAAAATTTACTTCAAACAAACTAGATTTTTGAGAAACTATAAATTTGACAAAAAATTACTTTTTTTTGAAAACAAATTTTTTAAAAAAAAAAAATGTTTTCTTTATTTTGACATATTTTGGAAATTCTGAACTTTTTTTCAAAGCAATCGTACTGATTTAACTGCATAGAGACGAAATGTCAAAGCGCGTTAGCGCCGCGTCGCCGTCTAACGGATAAACATGATAATTTGATGTGCATATGTCTAATGATCATTTTTGACCGCGAAATGTCACTTTTTCACTTTTTTCACTAGATCTCCGAAACCGCTAAACCTGCCTTCATAAAAATTTGATAAATTCTTCATGCTGTCAATACAAGTAAAATGTTTTTTGAATTATTAAAATCTGACGCTCCGTACTCTTAAAAACCGAGTTACCATTTTTGGCCCGTATCTTTGAAATGTCTAGACCTGTCTTCGCCAAAAACTAATCAGCACGTCTCCTTATCAATACGAATAGAATGTTTTTTGAATTATTTAAATCGCTTCATCCGTGTTCCCAAAATCGTCGACGAAAATTTGTATCCGCACACGCATACATACGCGCACACACACATACACACACATACATCCATTTTTTCTAAGGTATGCCAAAATATTCAGAAATCTCTGAAATGTAAAGATATATAAAAATTTTCATTCTCGAGTTTTTTGCGATTACTATAACTAGACCTACGGGAAGTTAATATATTTGCCGATTCGTTTGAAATTGGTGATATTTTGATAATGCAAGTTCGTATAAATATATATCCCTAGATTAAAAAATTAAAAATACATGAACCATAGTAGTATAGGATCACAAATGTATTTTTATTATATTATTAATAGTAATTAAAAATCAAACTTTCAATAAAACTAGAAACTTACCGGATTACCAATGGACAAGACCTCCACAATACGTGCACGACACCAAGACGCCATTGCGTCCGATTTTCGCGCATAACAAAGATCACCAGCACGAGGTCGAAAGACAACTGGCAAATCACTGGCTTTAGGAGGCATGGGTCTGATCGGCCTGTATACATTCCGAGGCACCTGCTGCAGTTGAGAAATTATTTGATATAAATCGTAACATGTGCTTGTTAAAAACATTGGTGGTTATAACATATATGTTAGATGCTTATAACCATCTAAGCATGTGTCGTTGACGCAAAAACTCTTATGCAGAAAATAAAATATACAAATGCAATCAACTCAATACTCTCCCCGAGCGAGAATAAAAGTGAGTTATAACGATGAATTCTTATGAATTCGCCCCGACGTTTTCAATCTAACGAAGGGTAAAGAGACTGCTTGAAATTAACTGGGTCTGCGGACTGCAAATTTCATGTACGGACCGCCATTTCGACGGTTGTTAAAGGTCTAGCCTCTGTGTAGGCGCAGAATATATAAAATATCTAGTCGCGATGTAAACTGTTCGTTATGTTCAGGGAATATCGTACGACTCAGATATATATATATATATATATATATATATATGTAAGAAAATTCGTTGTTTAGAAATATTCATCGAACTTTTCTATACAAAGTGTGGTCTCTCGGGTGACGCCGAGGGACATTTACGCACTATGCTATTATATATATATAGCACCCTGGTTGATCCTGCCAGTAGTATATGCTTGTCTCAAAGATTAAGCCATGCATGTCTCAGTGCAAGCCACATTAAGGTGAAACCGCGAATGGCTCATTACATCAGTTATGGTTCCTTAGATCGTACCCACATTACTTGGATAACTGTGGTAATTCTAGAGCTAATACATGCAAATAGAGTTCCGACCAGAGATGGAAGGAATGCTTTTATTAGATCAAAACCAATCGGTGGCGGGCTTGCCTTGCTCACCGTTTGACTTGGTGACTCTGAATAACTTTGTGCTGATCGCACGGTCTAGTACCGGCGACGCATCTTTCAAATGTCTGCCTTATCAACTGTCGATGGTAATTTCTGAGACCATTATGATTGCCACAATTGGTAACTCCGGAGTGGGTCATATCCTCCCTCGGAGTCGATCCAAGCGGAGTTGTATCCGAGAATTTGTCATATCCGACTTCCCTAAAGTCGTCCTAGATCTGTTGCCATGTACAGACATTTGCCCGTGGTTTTTTACAATTGCAAAGAAAGATTCGCGTTGAAAAACTACAACATTTATTTAATAGTAATGGGGAAAAATAATGAAATTATATTTATCCTTGTCTGCGAATGAACGTAATCAGGAATTAGTACTTAGGAGTATTTTCATATTGTATTTATAAAAAAAATATTAAATGTTTATGAAAGAAGTATTTAGAATATATGTAAATAATCGTGGTATTTCGGTTTTCGACCGAATTGTATAAATGATGACAAATATTCCAAATAACAAAGAGTAGCCGAATAGTGATTGCAAGTCTAAGCATAAAACTTGAATAAACATGTAACTCGTTAGTGATATAACAATTACTGATAGTAAATACAATAATACAAACAAGATTAGGTGTCAAAAACTTGCCGAATAGTTGCCGAGTATTCGGTATTCGGTCTCTGGAGCTTGCCGAATATACTATTCGCTGCAAGAATACTATTTAGATAAAATATGTATTTCATTCAAAGTAAAGATTTCGCTTTAATTAAAAACGATTTTCAGTTGATATCTTGAAACAATCTTGGGAAAAATTTTCAACTGTTATTTCGGAAATAAAATTCTCGCTTTCACTAACAAATCGTCCAAGTGATACCTTTCAAACAAACCTATAAATTGATGTAAAAGTTGAATCAATTTGTTTAACACATTTTATTTCATTCATTTCGGGATCTAAAAATGTATTTTGTTTAAGTATGGACGTAAACTGTAATCAGTGAATACAAACGTAATTCAAAACGTTCATAATCTTCGACATAGACACGATTCTGATTAGAATCACTTAAGCACGCGGCTAAATTCTAAACGTAGATGAATTTTTATATTTAATAGCTTTTTGTAAGCCAATTGTATTATTTTTTTTTTCAAACTATTTTTACCAAAAACTAATCAATGCGATGCCCAACCAATATCTTTCGAACAGTTTTCAAATTTTCAATTGATGCAAAATTGTAGCCTAAAACTTTTATGAAAAATCGTCGACAAAATTTCAAAAATCGGCTCACGCACACACACATACTTTTTCCAAATCTGGTCTTATTCGGCTCAAAATGATTAAAACATCAAGAGAACATAAAATTTAGCAAATCCAATTTTTCGCGAAAACTTCTTCTTCGGTAAGTTAATAATATAATAGTAAAGAAAAGATAAATAATATAAAAGTATCTAAATAATATCAATTATACTTTTATATTATGTTTCTTTTCTTTACTATGATCCTAAAAAAATAATGCATATGCAATTGCATTGATTTTCAATTAGAAGTTGTTTTTAATATTGCATTAAGTCATTATGATTATATGATTGATTAGATAATGTTTCTAAATTAAATATTTTAATCTTTGATATATCTTTTGCTGACATTACATTTTTCTTATGCACAATTTAACATATTATGATCAGCATTTGAATACAAATTGATAATAATTTGATACTTCTAGAACCTTATTAGGCTAACTAAAATATTTCTAGACTATCTAGAACGTTATCAGAGAATCTATAACGTATTTAGACTGACAACTTACAAATGTATTCAGACTATCTAGAACATTATCAGATTAACTAGAATATTGTCAAACTATCTAGAATATTTTCAGACAATGTAGAATATATTTATACTATCTAGAAAATGTCTATACCATCTAGAATTATTCAGACTGCTTAGAACATATTCAGACCGTCTAAAAAATTGTCAAAAATTTGTCAATAATAATGTTTTTCCAAAGGCAAATAATGATAAGTTGTTTTTCCCAAATTCATCCTGCATAATTACAACTACTTCATTCAACAGACCCTATTAAACAAAATTAGAGGCAGTTGACTTCATACACACAGAAATTTATAAATACAGTAAAACCTGTTTGTGTATGGTCTTTTTTTATGCAATTTGGTTTTTGTGTGTTTTTATTTTTGTACTATTTTTTGTGCTAATTATTTCTATGCGGTTTTCTATCAATATGCATATACAGGTACATATACACAACGATCTCGGATTACTTGGTCTACTTGACAAAAATGTATCTGGGTTTCAAGATGCTCTATTCATTTATTTCCAACAATCTTCGAACAAAAAAGCTTATGTTGTTGGACTGACTCGCAAACTATATATGCTTTGTATACAGAGATTTATCCACGATTCATGTGATTAAATATTTTTACGATTTCTCTAGGTCTTATTTAATTATTACAAGCAACTGAATACATCTCCTCATCTATTTTATAAAGCATTGATGTATTTTCTACGTCTGAATGTTTTTGTGGTTTCTATTCAGAGTCTAAATAATGTTAAAGTAATTGTAATTGTAAAGTAAATGTAATTTTATTTCAGAGTGTAAATAATGTTAAAGCAGTATATGGTAAAAAGTTGTTTATTGTATGTTAGAATTTATAAAATTTTCGAAAAAAATTTCGTACGATTTCTATACTTATTCGTACGATATTTATATATTAACCAAATCTATTAGTAATAAAATTATAAAACTTATTATATATACCGTTGTTTGAGGATGCACTGGTCTAACAGCTCGTATAGATTGAGGCCCTGGGTACCTAATTCGAGATGGAGAATATTGTTGAAGTGATCCACTTGGCACTTGTCTGATGATAGGAATTGTGCTAGTCTGTTTCAATGGAGATGCAGTTTTATTCTAAAAATACATAAAAGTATAAAAAAAAATTAAACAGCAGAAACATAAAAACTAAGTTTATTTAAACATTAAAATTGAAGAATGTATTATAGATACAATAGAAATATTAATAACAATATTAACATGGAAAGTCATATTACCATCATAACATAGAACATGTTATAGATAATTGATAAATATAGCTTTATTTAGATTTGCATATTTTAATAAAAATAAAGATGACAAAATGTATCAAAGATATCTTCAATAATCATATTGATTTAAGATATGTTTTTACATTGGCACAATCAATTTAAAATATAGTATAAACAAATCTTAAAAATTACTTCAGAAGTGTTCACTATGAGTGTTGTGTTTGTTCAAAAAATTAATCTCATTTTACTAAAATATGCTTTCATTTTTAAGACATTCTATACAAATAATAATGCATTCTTACCCGCACTATACTTGACTTAGAAGAAGGCACTACCCTTGTCCTAAAATTTTGAAAATATATATAATTAAATTAAATTAAAAAAAATTATGATAAGCATAATCTCTTATATTAATTAAAAATATTTAAATCATAAAAATTAAATAATAAATTAAGCCTCTGAGATTGATATCTTTGGTCTGTGAGTAATATAAAAAATCAGGCCAGAAAAATTATCCTTAAATGACTGTTTTAAGTAGTGATTTATAGTTTATCAAATGTTTAATATTATTAGTTTTTATTTAGTGTTATATATTTGTATCTATGAACTCTTAATACTTTAATTTTCTCATATATTTTCTTTAGTTTATAATTTGTACACTTTAAAATATAATTATATTGTATTATTGCCTTGGGCTTTGAATAAATAAATAAATACTAAGGTATTATATATTATCAAAAATTATTAAGTAATTTGTGATCAAACCATGCCCAGGCAGATAGAATTAATTACATTTAATTATGAAATAATTTAAAAATAAAAAAGAATCAATAATTATTAACTTCCCGAAGGAGAAGTTTATGTTTTCATAAAAAAAATCCGATTCGCTAATTTTATGTTTTCTCGACGTTTCAAGTCATTCTGAATCGAATGAGACCAAATTTGGAAAAAGTATGTGTGTGTGTGTGTGTGTAAACAGATTTTTTGCCGTAAATCGACGTTTTCTCCAAAACGTCAATTTCAAAAATTTAAACTCCATTCGATGTATCTCGATGAGGACTATCGTTTTTGAGGTTTGTGCCGCGATCGGCCGGGCCGTTTTTTTGTAAATTGCAGAAAAGTGAAAAATTTTTCGTCCACGTTTTAGCCCGCAATTCTGAATCGATTCTGAAAATTCAAAAACCATTCGATAGATATTGGTTGGGAATCGTGCTGATTAGTTTTTGGTAAAGATCAGCCGGGCCGTTTTCTTGTAATAAAGTTCTTAAAAAAAAAAAAATTCGACGATTTTTATAATTTTTTTTTGACGGTAGATACCATTGTTTTCTAGGTCATACTAGAATATTACGGCCCTACGACCACTCGTTTAGCTTTAAAAATTCGTCAAAGTTTGCAAAAATTGGTATCGTTTTTGACATTTGTCAAAATTAGACTTTTGTTCGACGTTTTCTCAAAAACGCCTGAACCGATTTCAAAAATTTAAAAGCCATTCGATCTGCCAAGCCGTTTCTTTGTAATTTGAAAAAAAGTGTTAAACTTTTCGTCCACATTTAAGCTCATCCTACCGAACCGATTTTAAAAAATCAAAAACTGTTCGAAAGATATTAGTTGGGAATGGTACTGATTAGTTTTAGGTGAAAATCTACCGAGCCGTTTTCTTGTAATTAACTGTTGAAAAAAAAAATTAAGCCGATTTTTATGGATTTTTTTTAGCGATATATACCATGGTCTTATAAAACTTACTAAAATATTACGGCCTTACGACAAATAGTTTGATTTTAAAAATTCATCAAAGTTTGAGAAAATGAGTAGCTCTTTTGACATTTGTTAAAATTAAAATTAGACTATTTACTTGGTATAATGATAGAGTACTTGGTCTTGAACATAATAAACCATTAGAGTCTTGGAAACTGGTTCAATTATAAAAATTATTGATTTTTGAAAATCCACTCGGAATACTTTTAATGACTCATAAATTAATTTATTTTTTATTGATTAAGTCGATTATTTAAACATATCAAGAAGTTCATGTAACTTGCCTCAAGGCTAAATACCAAACCAACTAGTTTTCCATATTTTGTAGCTGCAAACATTTTTATTATTTATTTCGAGTTTAAATTTTAATTTGGTCATCAGAAAAACTTTCTACCATAGACATAAAAAATATTATATGTATGTATATTCATTTGGTATTTCAAATATTTTCATGTCGTAATTGCCATATTTTTGACTTTTCATATTTTAAGAAGGAGGCCTGCTTTAGAGGCTTAAAAAATAGATTTTTTCTGCAAAAATGTTTTGCAAAACTAGACAATAATATATCCCTAAAATTTCAGAAACAATTCGAATTATTTTCGGAGTTGCAGAAGAAATAGGGAGTCGGCGTCGGGTATATGAGCGAAACGAAAACTTCCACACGATTTCTCGGTTTTCCATTTAGTCGATTTTACCTCACTGGCGGGAAAGATAGAAAAATACTGAACGTTCTCTATCAAAACGAGAAAAAATTAATTGACCCACTTTTTAAACAATCTATATTGATTTTCTTTCTATCAAAAAACATGATTTTTTTAATTTCCAAAAAATTGGTAGATTTCTCATATTTTTCTGGATTTTTTAGATTCAACTAGAATCTATACTATTGAAAATATAAATTTGTTTTGTTTTTTTTTATTTCGGGTGGAAATTGTAACCTGCATCTTTCCCGCCAAACAAACACATGCACGGTCGAGGTGTCTCGGCGAAATGCTTGTAACCCGGCATATTATGACATAAATTTTAAGGAAAAAAATTGAGCAACTTTCGTTTCAATTAAGTATTTATTTCCTTCCCTAAAAAATCCTCAAAAAAAAAAGATTTTTTGAGCTTCTAAAGCAGGCTCTCCCCTTAATACTTAATCATTTTTAACCCCTAATGTACTCATTCCTATTTATTATTCATAAAAAAAATAATCTAGAAGACATACCTTTCTGTAATTACATCTGGTATCATAACTTCACCTATATTTTCTATTTTCTTTTTAAAGATGCTATAATATATGCCTTCCACTTTATTTGCATATTGTGTTATTTTCTGGACCTCTTTATCAATTTTATCAGTTTTCTCTGCAAATGTAAGTTGTTAAATAGAGATAATGTGCATATGCTTTTAAGCAAAAATATTAAGATACCTTCTAATACTTTTCTCTTCTCATCAAGAAGTTGAACACAATCATCAACTTGTTTTGCCACATCAAGCTTTGTAAACATTTCTTCAATAACATCTTTAATATTTTCTCGAAAGTCTGCATCCACTTCATCTGATTTTCCACGATCTGTAACAGCAAACAATTTGACCTGAACACTAAATTTGTTTATTTTTCAATAAAAACATTTTTGAAATATATTGGATTCAAATTAAAGCTAATAATACAAAATATATAATAATAATACTAATATTAATATACACATATTTTTATACTGTAAAATGTATGTTACAGTTACAAATACTTATTGTTCATAGCCAATGTTTATGATGGAAACTCTCCGTTTTATGATCAAACCTAAATTTCGCGTGTGCATAAACTAGTTTGTTTGAAATACCAAAACAAAGAGCATCATTTTTTTTAAATTCGTTTTCAATTAGAGATAAAAAGGACTTTGTTAGTGATTTTTGTTCGGCCGGTTTTTTCATAAAAAATAAATTCTTCGAGTTACACTAATTTATAGCACCTATCTTCCATGTAAAATGGGAGATAGATGTAGAGTACAAACTAGTGGTGTAAAACAACGTGCCTTAAGGCAAATTGCTGGAACTTTCCGTACCGTAACGAAATATTCGAGGAATATTAAATGTTTTCAAATAGATTATTATGAATATTGAAACAATGTCTAATATTTATAAGATGACCCGACAAACGTTTTTCTGTACCCACGTCTACAATTCAAAAGTTCCAAATTTGTTAATATCCTATTTGATGTCCTGCATTTGTGATGCATTTATGGTCTCAGCATAGGCAGTATAAGAAATTCAGAAACTAGTGGGGCGCATGGCATCGTGCCTTAAGGCAAATTGCTGTAACTTCCCGTACCAAAAATTTTAATTTTTTTTAAAAAGATTAACATTGTTGAAAAAAATTTACTTCGAACAAATTATATTTTTGAAAAACTATAAATTTGACAAAAAATTATTTTTTTTTTTTGAAAAAAAAAATTTCTTTATTTGACATATTTTGGAAATTCTGAACTTTTTTTCAATGCAATCGTACTGCTTTAACTGCATAGAGACGAATTGTCACAGCGCGTAAACGCCGCGTCGCTGTCTAACGGATAAACACTGGTACGGAACCCATAGGAATGTAAACAAAATTTATACTTATTATTAAAATCTTTGTAAAATATCTGATAATTTGAGGTGCAAATGTCCAATGATCAATTTTGACCGCCAAATGGCATTTTTTTTTCTTTTTTCACTAGATCTCCGAAACCGCTAGTCCTGCCTTCATAAAAATTTGATCAATTCTTCATCTTGGCAATACAAGCAAAATGTTTTTCGAATTATTAAAATCGGACGCTGCGTTCTCTTAGAAAGCGAATTACCATTTTTAGAACTTTTTGCCCTGTATCTTCGAAATGGCTAGACCTGCCTTTGCCAAAATCTAATCAGTCTCCTTATCAATACGAATCGAATGTTTTTTTGAATTATTCAAATTGGTTGATCCGTGTTCCCGAAATCATCGACGAAAATTTGTATCCGCCCACACATACATACACGCACACACACGGTCCTGAAAAGTTGACATTAGAAGAACGGCAGAACAGATGGACCGATGGCAGCAACTGTGGTATGTTGCAGTGAAGGGCAGATGGACGCATCGTCTCATTCCTAACATCAAAGTCTGGCTAAGTCGCAAGCATGGCGAAGTAAATTATTATACTACGCAAATGCTATCTGGGCACAGCTGTTTTCGAGCCTACCAACACCGGTTCAAGCACGATAGCTCACCGGATTTCCCATATTGTTTGGTCGAAATCGAAGATGCTGAGCATGTGTTTTTTGTGTGCCCGTGATTTGGTGCTGCACGGGACGATGCGGAAGAGACATTGAGCCGCAGAATTACTCCAGGTAATGTTGTTGAAGTGATGCTGAGAAGTGAAGCTGCTTGGAATGCCATAGAATAGACAGATTTGCGAGAGAGGTACTAATTGACCTGCGCTCTATGGAAAGAGAAAGGACGAATAGGACTTCGCCCATTTAAAAGATGAGTACAAAACAAGTTAAGAATTATAACATTCTAGATCCTCCCCTCACGAAGTAATGCCTAACGGCGGTTTCCGTGGGGACCAGAGACAAAGGCACAGCGGAGGTTTTAGTCGGTATTATACCAGAGCCGTATTGAGTCCGACATACCCACCCAAAAGACCAGTCTGGGATGCATAAAGGCATTTCCTTCGCTCACACACCCACGCACACACACACACACACATGCATCCATTTTTTCTAAGGTACGCCAAAATGTTCAGAAGGTTTTGAAACGTAAAGATATATAAAAAATTTCATTTTCGATTATTTTGCGATTACTATAACTTGCCCAACGGGAAGTTAAAAATAATATAATATCCGCGGTAAAAGAACAATATCACACTCGATTTTACCACACAACATAATTGCTTCAATAATTTAGTTTATAATTCTCATAATCTCGTACGATATATGAGCCGCTCAGTGCACACATCGACTAACTCCACTTTTTGAAAAAACTGAGATATTAGTGGGAAAGAACTTGGTATAATCATAACTTTTAGTATTTATAATAACTTTCCGGAATAACAAAGATTAGCACCGTTAAATGGCAAATTTTTTTTGGCCATTGAATAATAATTAATTTATTTCAGAAGCCATTTCGATTAATTCCATATTCTATATAATGTAAATCGTTTCAGTAACGCTGTATCTGTTCTGGCCGTGCATCGACGCTTCTACATTCATATTTGAATTCATATTATCAGCGAAATTTTAAAAAACAATATACATTACATCATCGCGTTTCTCAACTTTTTGTTTTATGGAGTTAATCGATGTGTGCACTGAGCGGCTCATATATTAGTTGCTTTCTGGCAATTATAATATCTAAAGTACATTTTTCTCACTAATAATTTAATAAACATTATTGTTTATGTTTAAATCTTAGGTGAATTAATTTGTAAAATTAATAGGCTCAGGTGGCGGAGTCAACAATGGCAATTTCACTTTACCATTAAGGCAGCATAATCCAGGCGTTTCTCCGAAAAACTTTAATGCGCCACAATACTCGCAAAGTACGTCCATTTGCCCAATGCAACTGCTAGGATGCAAGTTGCAATCATTGGTGCAATCGTATTGAAACGCTGCTTGATTCAAATCAGCATTTGATAAATATCTTGTTCTGCATCGCAAACTATCTCTGTTGTTTGCTCGACAATTCTGCATTGCCAACCGAGCTGTTTCACGGGCTGTTTTCCTTTGCTCTTGTGATCGAGAAGCACGGAGTCGAGCCATACTCTGGCGGCGCTGTTCACGTGCAATTTCTCGTTCCTCTTCAGTCCTTTCATTTGCAATCTTTCGCATTCTTCTTGCATTACGGCTTTGTTGGGAAAGATTCGATCGTCTTGGTCGCGGCATTATTCATTAAACTTCACTTCAACTAAAAACTAAAATTTCAACCGTACCGAGTTTTATAGTTCACTTCACTTTTTATACGAAACGGCAATGCAACTATCATTGCATTATGAAATAGAAATAGTTTTCTTATTGATTGCTTAAAAATATCAAATTGTCATCCATATATCATTACATAGCTGTCATTTGCATTTTGTTATTTCAAGTCACACGGAAATCGTGACGAACGGGATAAAAAGTATCCTATGTCCTTTTCCTGGCTCTAAACTACCTCCCTGCCAATTTTCAACTAAATCGGTTCAGCGGTTCTTGAGTTATAAGTGGAGTAACTAACACTTTTATATATATACAGTCAGTCAAGTAAGAGCGTCGCCGACTTTAACGACAGTTAATGAAAGATTTCGGTCTAATTCTTTCGTGAGCCGATAAAGTGAAGCTTTGTCCTTGATGCATTGTCAACAAAGGTTTAGTTGCCGTTAATCTTTTGAGAAAAATCACGTTAAACGCCATGAGTGCTAAGTTACGCGTCACGCTACGAGGCTGCGCCCTTTTGCATCCACCCAAAAGGTCCCCAATTGTCGCAATCAGCTGCTGCTAAACATATGAGAAAGTTGAAGGCATTTGTACAGAATTTGATACACCTATATAAAGTTCTTACGATCTTACTTGACCGACTGAGATATACACTGCATTGCAAAGTAGAAATTATTTGTTTGGGGTATATTAGAACTTTAGTCAGAATTAAAATTAAAATCTGAATTATTTTTCAATAAAAAAAATCATTCATATCGAATGCTCAGTTCTCTAAAAATCTGCCATTCTTTGCGCATTTAGCTCTGTGTTGTTGAAATAGCTGGACCTGCCTTTGCCAAAAACTAATCCTCTCTTCTCCCAATCATTACAAATTGAATGATTTTTAGATCCTTCAAATCGGATACGCCGTCCTCTCAAAAACTCGATTTGTATTTTTTGCACTATTTACTCAGTATCGTCGTAACGGCTGGACTTGCCTCTGCAAATAACTAATCAGCACATCTCCCTATCAATAGGAATCAAATGTTTTTTGAACCATTCAAATCGGTTTATCCGTGCGCCCGAAAACGTGGACGAAAAAATGCGGACATACAAAACATACACACATCCATTTTTTCTAAGGTATGCCAAAATGTTCAGAAACCTTCAAAATGTGAAAATATGCATAAATTTTCATTTTGGCTTTTTGGCCCATTACTATAACTACCCTACAGAAAGTTAAAAATTAATTTATTGTAATAAATTAATCATAACCACATTTGCTAACAAAAAATGATTCGAAAAGAAGTATAAAATTAAATACTAGTGGTGCATGGCCTTAAGGCAAATTGCTGGAACTTCCCATCCCATAATAACATATTAGAGAAGTTTTAAATTTTTTTAGTCTGAATTAAAATTGAAATCACAATGATTTAAAATGATTTTTTAAATATTGGACTAAAAAAAAACTTTCTTGCCGTCCCCAAGAACAAAATACTGCTCTTTTGATAACTTCTGTTTTTTGCACTTTTTGCTCCATATTTTCGAAACGGCCGGTTCCGCCTTCGCAAAAAACTAATCAGCATGTCTTTCCATCAATCAATTAGAACCTAAATATCATCGAGCACCGATCATTTTAATCGGTTGATCGGTGCTCCGAAAAACGTGAATGGAAAATAGTATCCACACATACATACACACACACATCTATCATTTATTCATTGAGTGGAAAATAAAATCTTTTGATGAAAGCGCCATGAGAGTTGCCTTAAGTTGCAAACCTATAATTTCAGAATACGCAGATGAGCATACTAGAGAGAGCTGATGAAGAGAATAACCGATATCAGTATGACTCCTAAGCATGGCATAAATTAAAGACAATCTGTGCATTGGTGGACTAAAGAAATCAGCTCTCTTCGTAAAGTGTGCCAAAAGAAAAGAAAGATCTCTCAGAGAGGATATAATCTCATAAATTCTGCACAACTGGTAGTGGAATACAAACAGGCACGTCGGCAACTAAATAAAGTTATCAAAGAAAGTAAAGTTAGGTGCTGGAAAGAACTCCTGGATGAAGTCGAGGAAAACCCATGGGGAAGGCCTTATAAGATTGTAATGTCTCGCCTCAAAAGCCAGCCAATACCTTCACCAACTTGCCCACGACTATTGAATAAAATAGTAACTACTTTGTCTCCATGACAACAATATCAGAGGAAGCAGTGTGCGTCATTTCAGGAACTGTGCCCCTCTTAGTCTTAGCAGAGGAAAGACGAAGAATTTACTATAGAAAACAACAACTGAGTCCTGAAAAGTTGAGATTAGAAGAACGGCAGAACAGCATTGACCAATGGACGACAACTACAAGTTAACCTATGGTAAGTTGATAACCATTCTAGGTTTCTTATTACGTTGTTTATTAACACGTTTACGCCGGAGCCGATTTTGTTATCTTTCTCGGTGAGCCGCCGCGTGGTTATTGCGTTCGAAATGCGATTCACCCTGTAGAACAGTCTCGCGCGGGTCACCGAAAGGTGGCACAAGCCGGCGTGAACGTGTTAAATATAATCATCAAAATACATGTATATTTTTTTCTTCAAAAACCGACCATCGTACCTATCTCCATGCCTTCCTCATCTTCATCACTATCAGAGATGGCTAAGAGTTCATGATCAATTATCTTTTTCTGAGCGTGCAAACATTCACCTTCAAATAACATGTCTACTCGAGCCTACAACCAAATATAAGGTTAAAGTAAATAAATCATGAAAATAATTATGTTGATAAATGAAACATAGTATATTTACCCCAATTTCTTTTGTAGCTTTTTCGAAACAGCCATCACAAAGAAGCTGATCTGCACTTTTATCTACATTTATTTTATAAAACCTCAAAATATCTGAAGGACAATATTTTAAAACGCCTTTATTGTTGCTTTTACAGCGAGTGTTTGCACAAAAGCCTCGTTTTTTGTTTGAAGTCTGTTCACCGTTTAATGATTTTGTTGTATTTATCTTTTTAGCTTTTTTCTGCACTGGCTCAATTTGTTTACTAGTAGTTTTGTTGATTGAATTATCATCTTCAGCATCATCATCCAAAATAATTATATCGTCGGAATTCAATGCAATTTGACTATTGGCTGGCATTGCCCTGCTTTTATCCACAGACATCATTTAAATATAAATTTTATATGTTCTTAGCATACCTACTGTATTGTTTGTAATATTTATATCTGAGGTTAGAAATACAATTAACATTAATTTTTTTCTACTTAGCTAGTACAAACACAAAATGATTTATTAAAAAATATTTCTTCTAAAATCATGTTTCAGTTAATTTATGTTAGTTCATGTACTATTTTATTACAGTACTATCGTAACAAAAAGTACATGATGGAAATTTGATTTTCGCACAAATAAGAAATAGCCATTGTTATTTATCTGAAAATTTTTAAGAATGACAAGCACACCAACATCGATAGTGAAAATCGATAGTGATGCACGATGTGAAATAAGAGAAATGTCATTAATAAAACCAAAAAGCATTGTTACCTTCTAAGGCAACACGTTGAATTGATAAACGATAAACTGTCATAACGTCAACAATTTCACACAATTTACCGAAAACTACGAAATTATAGAAAAATACAAATAAGCTAGTTTCATTTTGGTGTAACAGTTACTTTAAAACAGTTACATTAAATAACCAATCAGTTAAATATAAAATAATTGTTATTTTATATTACCGAAAACATTATCTGACGTGTCACAAAGTCATGGATTTTATTACATCTATTCCTACGCATATGGTATATTTTGATTACATGTTATTTATACTCATTTATGCTCTAATTTCTCAATGTATTTGCAATATTTATTGTAGGATTATGAGGGCCAAGCAAGGGCAGAAAAGTTATCTAGGTTAATAGTTACTTTGTTTGGTGTTATCGGTTTGATTTATGGATATGTTGTTCAACAGTTTTCAATGACTGTTTACATTCTTGGAGCAGGATTTGTAGTTGCATTATTGGTTAGTGTATATGTAATAATTATGTGTTTAAATTTTTGTTAACAATATTTTTATTGTAGATCACTGTACCTGCTTGGCCTTTCTATAGACTGAAACCTCTCAATTGGCAGAAACCTCGTCCACAAAACCAGCAGAGCACAGATAAACCAAAGAAAAAGTGAATTGGGAATAGTATAAATAAAATATTTTATAAATCGTTCAAAATTCAAAATACATAATTAAATATCTTTATTCATTTTATGAACATAATGTACAATATTTCATCAATAATTAAGACATTCATGTTTTTATTTTTTAATATGATGATGACTGCAGACGACTATCACATTTTAATTCACAATAGTGAAAAATAAATACGACTCACAATTATATGTATCTTTAACACTAGTTGATGTAAAAAAAAGATCACATAATTTATATTTCTGGAAATGCAACTTGCATAACATAAGGCCACAATTTCATATGAAATTGAAAGTAAAAAATACTTAACAGTTGAAAACAACTAAATAATGAACATGAACAATAGGAACTATATTCGACAACAAAAAATATTCTCAACAATTATTTCAAATTTCTAAACAGCAAAATTACTAGGCAAATTACAAAAATTGGTTCCATTACATATTGGATTTAAGTAATTAAGACTACCGCTGCATCTGCCGATGTTTTCTTTCTTGCCATGCCATAAGTTTTCTTGAGGCAGCCATTAGCATTGTATTTAAGTGTCTTGTTAACACTTTGCCTAAGGGTGAAAGTTCTCTGTGCACTTTATCCTAAAAAAGAAACAATTAAATATGTAATACTTCTTTTATACAAATTTTTGTATCATATCCATGAAATTACCAAAATGGTGTTTATTGAATATTTAAAGTAAATTTTGTATGTTAAACTTACAAGGAAAATAATTGAAAATAAAATAAATTTTAATGATCATACATATCATTGCTAAATACAGTAAATTCAACTTCAAATATTTCAATTCAAGTTTTTGTACATATATAACTCTATAAAAAAAAGAGTAATGATAAAGTCTTTAAATTTTTCTTTTTTTTAGCAAAATTATTTGATTTTGAAACTGAATTAATTTAATCATTTACTTTTTAATTATTTTTGAAGACAGTATGATAAAAATCAGTTACCTCAAATGGTTTCAGTCTAGCCATTCTAAATCTGTCTAATGCTTCATGCATTCGAAGAGCCTTAGCTTCTAATTGTGGTGTGGTAGGTGGAAATGACTTCCAAAAATGTTTTAGTAATTCACTGGCAGATAAATATAATTGACGAATTTCTTTTTCTAAATCTGGAGGCACTAATTCTGGACAAAAAATAAAATTTAAGTTTAAAATACAATTTGATATAAAATTTTTTTTATATATATATTATGCACACAACAAAAACCTGTACTATACTATAGAAAGCAAGCTAAGAAAGTGAGAGTCCTTTTACAATTTATTGTTCATTTTTTTTTGTAATTTATGGAATTAAATTTTGGGATTTTTCACCTTTACCTACATCAGTTCATTTAATAAATAAATAATTAAATAAGAATTAATTCAATAAATAAATTCACTTTTAAGGAACTTATATAAATTATGAGTTCTCAGACACCTTTCATGCCAAGATTAGCCTCTAACTAAAACTTTTGTATTATCTTCTTTAATTAAACTTAATAAGTAAATAATTGTTTCTGAAGAAATAATATATCTTCATGCAATCATGAATTATAATATATGGAATCATGTAATTCCAATTATTCAACTTACGAGCAAGACTTTGCTCCTGAAACCCTCTCATGAGAGCTCCACCCGGACTTAATTCCCCTAGAGCACTGACTGCTGCTGTTGGATTAACCAGCATTCTTTGAGGCAATCTAGAGCTCCAGGTACTACACTGCTGTTGCAATTGTTGTGTAACATCAGATGAACTTTCAACGTCCAGTGATGCACCTGAGGAAGTTGATGCACAGCCTGCTGTGTCAGACGGATTTAAAGGTACTGGTCCATGTAAATATCGGTCAACCTAAAATTTTAAATAAAAAAAATTAGATTGATTTTTAATTTGAATTTAATGTTGAAGTTAATTACTAACTTTTGTGAGATTCAGTGTGGCAGTCCTTTTATTTTCATCAGGATCTTTAGAGAGATCATCATATGTAATTTTTTCTATAATTCGAGCTTTCTTATTACTTGGTTCACTATTATCACAATTTGTATTTGAATGTTTTAGGCCTGTATTATTTCCAAGAGGACCGTTACCATTGGTCATAGGTAAAGACGTTTTTGCTGTACCTTGAAAAAAAAAAACAAGATAATTTTCTTATTAAATCAATTAGAAATTAGAATTAGAATTAGAAATTAGGACTATAGAATAAAATTTGAGATACACTTTAAAAATAATTGTTGTGAATAATTTTCTTCCATTAAGATATAATATCAAAAGGACTTCTGTGTTATCACTTTTCTTTAGCATAAACTTTAAGATCAAAGATCATTGAATAAGATCAGTGATTGATCAAATTACGCAATTCATATTATACAAAACAATTACTATTGTAAATGCAATTTGATAAGATTTAAAAAATTAACAACAATAATATTTGTTGCTATTAAATATAAAAAAGGATATAAATAAAGTAAAAAATTGAACAAAGAAAGGCAGAATGAAGATTCCATCATTAATTTATGATCTATTTGAAGTGGTTTAGAAAAATTCATAGATTGATATTCCATAAGATTAAGAAGAAAAAAAAAAAAAAAACAATAACTGATTATTACCATTGACTTGATTATTATTAACAGATTCATCTTGTTCCTTGCTTGAATTTAACACCATGGTAGAATGAAGATTAAACCTATGTATCATATTCTGATGAACAATATTTCCTGTTTCTCTTTTGCTTCCTTCGAGTTCAGCACCTGTGGTAATGCCACCAAATCCTTCTTCAAGGGTTTTGTCTTCAAATTGAGATAATTGCAACAAGGGATCCCTGCATGCACTAATTGCCTGCTTTTGAGCATTATCATCAATTTTCCCACATTCTGTAAAAATATCTTTGGTCCCGGACATCAATCGATCTCTGTACAACAAATATGCAAATCAAATTTAAATTATTGAATCATAAAAAATATTGTGAATTATGAAATTAAACATAAGCACAAAATTAAATTACCGATGAAAATAATGACTTTGAAAAAACTTGGTCCAAAATTCACTCTCAGACATCTTTGAAGGCACATTTTCCATATGTTTTTTCTTGACAGCAGGAAATGTTTTAAATACACATGCTATCACATCAGATGTTAAATTATACTTTAATCCGTTGCAGCCATCTGTTTGGGGCTTTATATCTGCTAAGAAAGCACCAGAAACACCTGCAAAAAAAATGATTATGAAGATATTTGTATATGAAAAGGATCTCAAGTTACTCTTTGAAAGAAAAAAAACTATTATTGATTTTATCAGTGGCCGATCTTACTGCTAATAATATAAAAATTATTGATGCTTGTAATAGAAATACATACATAAAAAGTTAAAATTTATTCAACAAGAAAATTAAATTTATCATAAGATAATGAGCAGTGACACTCATATAGAAAGAATATTGAGTCTTACCTATATCTTGTTTCACCGTATCACGATCTTTGGTATATTGTGCTGCATGCATAGTCCAAAATTCTTCACTAGAAAGCACTTGAGGTATCACTAAATCCTTATATAGTTGTAATAAAACTGGATGCTCAGATAGTAGCCTATGCCAAATAAAATATACATCGATATAATTACAACAAATTTTCATGATATGCAATATAAAATTTACTGACCTATTCTTTTCCTCCAGTTCTTTATTAACTTTTTTTCTAAAATTAGGTAAAAGTTGAAAAAGACGATCTTTAACACGTTCCCTATCATTCAGTTGTGCTTGTGTACCTTCTCGATTCACAAAATGGAAGGTAGAGCTAGATCCATCATTTAATACTAATTGTAATTGTATTTTGGGTTTTCCCTCGGGTGATATTTTTTGCACTACAAAAATAAAAATGGTTATAACAAGAATGCCTGAATAATGCATCTAATCTTCAAAAAAGCGTCAAGCTAACATTTTAAAGAATATCAAAAGCAATATTAGAGACAATTACAAATGAACATGAATTAAAATATGAAGATTATCTTATTTTCAATAATTTTGGTAATACTGCATAAGTTAAAATATTTAAAGGCCTAAGCAAGTGCTAAATGATATTAAATTATATTGAAAAAAGCATTTACTTTTAATATCTGCATATCTGTGAGAAACAGTGACAGTATCTCTGTTCTCTGCCATCCATGCTATGCGTTCATTCATTATATATAAGGTACCATCTCCTTTCTTGTATTTTACAGATCCAATCTGGAGTAAAACATCTTCACTGCTAGTTGTCATGATGATATGTATATTATTTGACGCAACATCTATAGAATATGTTCAAGAGATTAAGGTGGCCGGTTTTCCCCTGAAATAGATTCCCGATTGAATTAAATGTTTTAATTAAGCAATTGAAACAGTTGCAGGTAAAAAAGCTATGCAAAAGCTACATTTAAAGGTATGATATATATGTATAAAATACAAAATCTTTTTAGGTAAATTGTACACTATAAAAATATCAAATATATAGATCATACAAACTGTGTATAGATAGTTTGTATGATATTTTATTCGGGCCTGATGGAGACATACAATAATGAATCAAATAAAAAATAAATATAAAAAAATATCAGCAGTACCTCATTGATAAGATAAAATTAAAAATACAAAAAATAAAGAAAATGTTTTACCAATGAATAATCAAGTATTTCTTTTACACTTTTCTTAATAATTATTTTTATTTAGCTATATTGCATATTTAATAATTTAATAATCTTAAATTTTTATTCAAAGATATATTAGTAACAATAACTTTCAAGGATTAATTTTGACATTTAATAAGAATATAGGACACAAGATTCCAAACTCAAGAATCAATAAATCAAATAATTTAAGAAGAGTTCATAATCTAAATCCTTATATGGTACTATACTTAATACAAATAATATTAAAAATTAAAATAAAACAGTGAAATTATGATGCATTTTTTTAAATTGTATATTATATTTTGATTTAAATATACATGAAGACATGAGAAATTAATTATCAGAACATTTAAATACGCCATTCTTGTACATATTAACTTATAATAGAGCAGTGTTTCTGAAATTATATTGACTAATTTCAAAGACAAAAAAACATACCTAAAAATGGAATATAAAATATTAACGTAAAATTTAAAAAAAAAAAACTATTTAAATAACTTAGAAAGAAGCATTTTAGTTTAATTTTGAAAGCGTTGTAAACGGAGAAGAAAAACAAATTTTAGTAACTAATAATAATTAAATAACTGAGAAATAAACACGAATCGAAAACATTTATTATTGTAGATAATAAAGCTTTACATGCTGAGGAATCAATTTGCAATGGCTGTGAAAGATGATCTTCCACATATCAGAAGTGAAATAATTTAACTAAATGTTCATTATTTGATCCAATTTTCAACATTTCTAAACCACAATCACATCATAGTTCGCCTGAACGCAAATAAATTAATTCTAGGTAAACATTTACCTGCTTTATAATTAAATATTCGGCGGTGCCGTTCGCTCAACCGACTGGCACGTCGGCCATTTAATTCTGATCTGTTGTACATGGTCGTAAGCAGCGGCAGCGGTCCCTGTACGCAGTATCAAGAACACTGGGCAACTACGACGTCTAGAAATATGACAAAATCACAAATACTTCACGACCAAATGCTGCCAACACTACAAATCGAACGTCTGCTTGTTCGGGATGCGAGCTAGTGGGAGGCGTTGTTAGGATAGACGCGCATGGTAGATTTTTGTCGTCTAAGTCTAAACATTAATTTATATGTACAATTCTTGTTTGCAAGTGTGAACAAATCACTTTTGAAGTGATTTACCCTAGACAATATTAGAATATGATGCATTCATAGGGGGCATCCATTAATCATGTGAGGTTTTTAGGGGGAGGAGGGGGGTTAGACAAAATATCACGTGAGGGAGGGAGGGGTGTAGCAAGATATCACGTGTATTTATTTTTAAACTAATTTTTTTAAAAAAATTCAAGTATTTTCAAAAAAAGTTTACAGTTTTTTTATGTAACTAAAAATACACGTGATGTTTGGTGAGGGAGAAGTGGTAATTTTGAATATGACCATGTATCACCAAGGGGGAGGGGCTCCGAAAATCCTCACAAACTCGCTCACGTGATTAATAGACGCCACCAACTTGAATTGAAGTCATACTTGCAATGCAACTTCGAAAAACGTTGTATTTTCTTCTCGTAAACCTCTTGAACCCTATGCTTGAACCAGTGAAATTGCTTGTGGTGCCTCGACATTAAAAATATTTGTATTTATGATCACTTATACTTTTCCTTTACCTATGTTTATCATGCATATTTTTTATAGCAAATAATAAGAATACCTACCAAAGCCAACGCTATTTCCGTGACTTTTGATCTCACGAAAACATTTGTTAAGCATAACTTCAAGTGGGGAGAATCTATGAAATAATGTGTTATATTTTCGATTCCTCAAATTAGCGTCTTTTGCTCTCCTTTTCATTGAAAACAAATCTATGAAGACTTCTTTTCTGCAAATGTGGAGTCCTTCGAAAAAAACAAAGAAAACGTTCGCTGCATCTTCAATATCTCTTGAACCAGGCAGTCATTCCGGTTAGCTATCGTGCTTGAAAGATGTGGGTCGATTCAGCTAACCCTTGATTTTTGATATAAGACGATGCGGCTATCTACCCTTCACTTAGACCTACCAATCATAAGTATATTATATACTAATATTGTATAGGATCCCACTGTTCCTTCCATCGCTCTAAGCTATTCTTTTTTTCTTCCATTCTCAGTATTACAATCTTATGCGTTGATAAAATGTCCATCTACTCACTATTTAAAACAATAAAAAGCAAAGTTCTGCAAACGACGCACAACTGTTTCCTCTGATATTGTACGGAAGACAAAGCTACTCTTAGGGCACTTAAGCTCAAGACACGAGTCTTGACAGCGTCAACTATATATCAGCACCAAAGTAACCACTGTTATTAAGTAATAATCAATGTTTATAATATATTAAAGTAATAAGTTCACTACGTTACATAGCAATAATATCACGAAAATGTGCAAGAGATCGAGTATCACGCTCAGTCAATTGAGCTCCTTTTGGAAGTCGCTTGGAGTAGCTGCTTCATAAACTTTAATAAAACAGGAAACACAGAATTGAAGAACTTTAAAGAAAACCACATGTATTATTTCACCACAGAGAAAAGAATAGCAGTAAGCCAAATGAATTAAAATTGATACGATTTTAAAAAATCTAAACAAGATACGTATAGGTGAATAAATGAAAACATTGGTGTCCTTTTTCTATATCGGGCGGAGCAATTATTATAGTTAACATCAAAAAAGTACTTGAAGTTCTAGCGACATCAATACACTGCTCAATAAGACACTATCTAACAATACCATGTATTATTTTCAATTAGCTTTTTACGAAACATCAACAGAAAAATTATATTCAAATGTAGGTGTATACCAGGATGGCTAAAGTCTGCAATGTCTGGCGAACCTTACATTAATTACAGGGCATCTGATTATCATCTCGGGTAACGAGCAACTTACTTCTCTACAAAATTCGACAACGTTGAAACATGTTATTATTGTCTAGGATGTTATATCGTAGTATGCTATGTTTATTTATCTATGGTTATAACAGCGTGGACATCAATGTTATTTGGCGTTCGTTTTGTTTTGCTTATTCGTGGAATAAGCCAAAATAAATAACAATAAATGTTTAGGTAGTACACGAATTATAAACACATGTAGCATTGTGTCAAATAGCTTATAGACAATTGAAAGAGGAAACAATTTTTTTATTTACAAATTTCAATCAGAATCTTATTATTCTATAAGCTATATTGAAATGTACTTGAATTCAAAACTAAGAAACATTTAAATTTGAATCACTAGTATCAGATAGTAATTTTAGTATCAATTCAATTATCTGTATTATAAGATATTTCAGTATCAAATATCTCTAAATAACTTATATTATGTATAAATGTCTCCAATTTTTTAGAGTAATTCCGGAAATAGAACTAAGGTACCAATTGGCTGAAGACCTCACAAAACGAATAAATCCGGAAAGTAAATGTTAGATAAATATAAAATTGCAGTCGTCAAAATAAAAGAAACAAATAAATACGTTTTTTTTATTTATTTGTTTCTTTTATTTAGACGACTGGCTGAAAATCATTATTCAAGATATGTCTCAACGTCGAACAAAAAATCTATATATATATATATATATATATATATATATCTCACTGTTCCTTCCTATATATGTATATATATATAATATAGATTTTATATATATATATATATATATATATATATATATATATATATATATATATACTAGCAAACCCGACGAACTCCGTTTCGCCACCAGATGCTTTCCTGAGAAAGATGAAGAAATTTTTTGTTTGTTTTATATTTGAAAAGGAAACATTTTATTTTATTATACAACAGTAATGAATTTATTTCGATTACAAAAATGAAGTGTTTTTTAGTTGAACTTCTCTAAGTAAATAAAAGTGAATCCGCAAATTATCCGTTTCATTGAAGTGCTCTTTGGTAAACCACATTTTTTGTTTTTTGGTCTGACGTTAACACAAACAAAGCGGATGGTTTTCCAACTCGTAAACAGGCAACGTATAACTGCCCATGTGAAAAACAATGATTTTCTAAATAATCAATTTGAAATTTATCCCGCCAACACTAAGCGATTGGCCTTGCGACTTGTTATTGCGAACGCAAGGCGAACTGGAAATTGCAATCGTTTGAAGTCAACCAGTCGGAATCATTGGTATGTCACCAAATCGCTAGCAATTTTAGATTGAATAGTGAAATTCAGTGCGTGTACATCATTATTCTTTGCTCGTTGCTCGGCAAGAATTGCTCGTTGACTTAACCAAGCATAATTCTGATAATTCTCACTAATGTCATTACTCGAATTTTTAATTACGGTGCGTGAAGTTTTAGCAGCTTGCAATAAGGCACGATGCTATGCACAACTAATTTTCTTAGCTATAAATCTTGCGGAGCCCGAGATCTTTCCAACGAATGCAAAATTGTCGTAATCGGTTCATGCGTTCTGGAGTTATTTCGTCAGGAAGGAAAACCCGACTTATTTTTATATATATATATAGAAGATAATCTATTTGAAATTATTTAAAACAATTATTGATGATTTTTATTACTCGTATTTTTAATTACGGTGCGTGAAGTTCCAGCAGCTTGCATTAAGGTACGATGCCATGCACAACTAATTTTCTTAGCTATAAACCTTGCGGAGCCCGAGACCTTTCCAACGAATGCAAAATTGTCGAAATCGGTTCATGCGTTCTGGAGTTATTTCGTCAGGAAGGAAAACCCGACTTATTTTTATATATATAGAAGATAATATAGATTTTTTGTTCGACGTCGAGACATATCTTGAATAATGATTTTCAGCCAAAACATATAATATGTTTTATATAAATATATTTGAAACCATTATATTCAGAATCTGTCAAAAATATGTCAAATATTTTTTTTATTTATTTTATCTGAGTTGCTAATAATTATAACACAAGTAAAATTTTAAAATTCGTTCAATAATTTGCTTGGAAAATTTAAATAATTGCAAGATGTCTATTACAATTACTGAAAGTACGTATCCATTATTTATTTATAACTAATTTTACTAATCATACTTCAGGGAATTAATATATTAAAATAACGATTTTTTGTTGCTCGACAAATAATTTATAAACATAATAGACACAAAAATGTGCAGGATTTATGGTAAAAAATAATGAAAAGATCACGACATCTTTTATTTACGAATTAAATTGTTTTAATTTTCATAAATTAAAAAAATATTGAAAATATCATGAAATCTGTCTAGTCTTCCTCAAAACTGTCCCAGTTCAAGTGCAAGAGCATGTGAAAGAACAAAATTTAATCGACTATTTTGTGAATGGATATTGCATTTTTCTTTGTAATTTGTGTAGCAAGATTCTTAAATTTTGGTTTTAAATATGTTGAACATTCTCTGCTATAGAAAAATTCGGAATCCACATTGAACAAGTTTCTTGCATTTTACTATTATTAACTTCCCTCCCGTAGGGTAAGTTATAGTAATCGCAAAAAAATCGAAAATGAAATTTTTTATATATCTTTACGTTTCAACGGTTTCTGGACATTTTGGCATACCTTAGAAAAAATAACTGTATGTGTATGTGTGCGGATACAAATTTTCGTCGACGATTTCCGGAACACCAATCAACCGATTTGAATAATTCAAAAAAACTTTCGATTCGTATTGATAAGAAGACGTGCTGATTAGTTTTTGGCGAAGGCAGGTCTAGCCATTCCGAAGATACGGGGCAAAAAGTGCCAAAAACGGTAACTCAGTAATAATTCAAAAAACATTTTACTTGTATTGACAAGATGAAGAACTGGTTAAATTTTTGGGAAGGCAGGTCCTGCGGTTATGGACTCTCGATAAAAATAAGTTAAAAAAATGTCATTTGGCGGTCAAAAATGTTTATTGGACATATATAGGTACATCAAATTATCAGATATTTTATAGAGATTTTAATAATGTGTACACATTTTGTGTAAATTTTTTTTGGTTCCGTACCAAG